CCAAGTTAAAACTGCTTCAACCTTTGATGGATCAACTGATACTCCACCTTCTGAAACAACATGCCCCAAAAACTTCACCTTCTGTAGCCAAAACTCACATTTCTCGTATTTGGCATACAATCGGTGCTCCTGCAAAATCTGTAAAACAATACTCAAATGGACCTCGTGATCTTCCCGAGTCCGTGAGTACACAAGAATGTCATCCACGAAAACTACCACAAACTGGTCCAAGTAATCGTGAAAGACGCGGTTCATCAAGTCCATGAATGCCGCTGGCGCATTAGTCAAGCCAAAAGGCATAACAAGGAACTCATAGTGTCCATACCGTGTACGGAATGCTGTCTTCTGGATATCCTCATCCCTAACCCGCAACTGATAATAGCCAGACCTCAAGTCAATCTTCGAGAAACAACTGGCTCCCCTCAACTGATCAAATAAATCATCTATCATTGGCAAAGGATACTTATTTTTTATGGTGGCACGATTCAACTTCTTGTAATCAATGCACAACCTCAAAGAACCATCTTTCTTCTTAGCAAACAAGACCGGTGGGCCCCACGGTGACACACTCGGTCGTATGAAACCTTTCATCCTCAAATCATCAAGTTGCCTCTTTAATTCTTCCAATTCAACTGGTGCCATACGATACGATGCCATAGAAATCGGCGCGGTACCTGGCATCAATTCAATAGAGAACTCCACTTCTCGATGTGGAGGCAACTCTGTCAAATCCTCTGGAAACATCCAGAAAATCACGAACAACTGCAAGATACTCTTTTTCCATAACATCATCCTCTTCGGCTATAAGACTAGCCAAGAAGTAATCACCACGACTCTGTCCACAAACTCCATGAAAAGATGAAATGTGGGAATCACTCCGATCTCCCACGAAAAAGAAACAGTCTCCCTCGGGAGTGCAAACCATAACTCTCCCTCTGAAACAATCAATCGTGGCATGGAAGAAAGCTAACCAGTCCATCCCAAGAATGACATCAAAGCTAGTCATCTCCAGGAGGATAAGGTCAAACACGAAAGTCTGCCCGACTATCACAATGGGACACTCCCGCACAATTCGGCTCAAAGACACTGAAACCCCAACTGGAGTATCAACACATAACGCCCGATCCATGAAACTAACCTCTAACCCCGATGCAAGTGCAAATGATGATAAAATGAAAGAATAAGATGCACCAGAGTCAAACAAAACACGGGCCCAACAATCAAACACTGGAAATATACCTCGAAGAACTGACGGTCCAGAAGATGCATCAGTCTGTGCCAGTGCAAAAACACATCCCTGTGGTACCTGTGCCTGAGGACTGCCAACCTAAACACCTAACTGCTGCACTGACATAGTAGGAGTATCCCTCCTAACTGACCGTGAACCCTGTGAAGACATAGTAGGCTGTGGTGGTAGTGGTCTGAAACCTGACTGAACTGTAGCCGATTGTGACAGCCTCTGCTGTGACCCTCTGCCACTAACGGTGCCTGCTCTCTGACTCAGACAATCACGAATCAAGTGACCCTGCTGGCCACACCCATAACAAGCCTTCGGAGCTGACAAAACTGAAGACGATCTCATCGGACAACTGGACTTGTAATGTCCGGGCTGCTGACACTGATAACAAACAACTGCACTCCTGTCAGGTCCAGCTGGCATAGGAGTGGTAGGAGCAGATCTTGTAGACTGTTGCCCTTGAAACTGAGATGGACTGCCCCTGTTCCTTTTCCAAGAAGATCCCTCTGAGGATGGCCCTGCACCCCTCTTATGTTTCAATTGCTCTCTTCTTGTATCCTTCTCCCTATTGTCAGCCTCCAGCATCAAAGCCCTTTCCACTGCTTCAGAGTAAACCTTAATAAACTGTGCCGTGATCAACGGCCTCATTCGATCATTAAGACCCGAGACAAACTTCCAAGTCTTGTTAGCTTCATCTCTCACCACTTCTGGAGCAAAACGGGACAGTGAGGTGAACTTGTTCTCATACTCCCCTAAAAATAGGCCTATCACAACCTGTTTAATTGCATTTTTAACCTATCATGGCTCAAATTCCGAATTCACGGCAATAGTAGATGATGATACACAATCAAATGACCTCAATAATACTTCAAACTAGTATTACTCTCCCCATTCATCAATAAGGCTTACATGTTATCAAATTCACATCCAAAATATCATCAAATACCTTAATTACATTACATGACAAAGTTTTGCAAAATATACATATACACCTTCACACTTTTAGTGCTTTGCAAAAATAATGGGAGATATACAAAAGACACAAAAGTGAGCTTCTAGTATCGCTCAGGCTTGAGGTGGGTTGTTGTCCACCGGTTCTTTTCCAAGACCTGAAAAAAAATGTATAAATAGTAGGGTGAGCTATATGCTCAGTAGGTGACACTTAAGACACAAATCTTGTGTCCTTGTGAATTCAAGCAAAGCATAGGCCAATGGGAGATAGGGATCATACAACGTAGGGGATCAAATACAACATACAATTCAATTCCAATTATAAACAATGCAATGCAATGCAATGAAATGCAATGCATGTCAATGACACTCCCCATTTTCATTCTCAAAACCATCACTTTCAAACGTTAATACAACCCGCCCTTTGGTAACCCCGCCGCGACACGAGAGGAGGATTGGCTAGTGTCCCTGACCCTTGGTAACCCCGCGGCGTCATTATGGGGCCCAGCTAGCTCAACCACACTAGAGCGACTTCCTAGTCCCCTCTAGGCTATATTAACCTCCGGCCCGTTGGTAACCCCGCAGCGACCGGGTTTCGCATAAAATCATTTCATTAAAAACACTTTCCCGAAATTTCCCCTTTTTGAAGTAAATCAATTCTTTCCTTTTTCCTGCCCAATGTTAATGCATGAATACCTTAATGACATACACAAGTTCATCATTCCATACTTTATCCAATTTAAGCAACATGGCATAATTCGCAAGAATAATCAAGAAAGTCATAACATGCTTATACATAACAAGTTCTAGCACAATGAACATATATAATCAAGTCCTAAACATGCTTCACATAGAACAATCAACAAATATAGTCACACAACTAACATATATGCATACATATCAACAATTCTCTAGATTTTAAACAATTAATCAAATTAAACAACAATTAGAGGCAATTAACTCACTAAGGTACAAGATTTCATGAATTAAGGGCCCCTACCTCAAGATTGCACCAAAACCCTAGAAAATGGGTCTAAATTTTCAAGTTCTAAAGAAGGCTCAAAACTGAAAATTGCTTGCATCAACACGTAGAGCTCGTCACACTCGTCGTTTTGCCTCAAACGGCACCTAAATCCGGCAAGAAGTGGAGGAGTAATCTAAGAATGAAGTTTAAGTTCAAAAAGAAAAAGAAAAATCAAGAAATAGAGACAGAAGGAAGGGCCAGTGGGAGAGAAGAAAAATAGAGACCAATTGTGATCTCAAACCCTTTTTGGGTGTGGTGGTGGGTCCCAACAAAATTTTAATTTGTTTTCTCTTTTTCTTTTACTCAATATACATCACATAATACACATATACTTACACAGACATCACATTATTCATAGTCGGTAATTATGGATGAAATCATAATTAATTAAGACTTGAACTGGATCCACGTTAGGTTGAGATATATTGCAAGAGCCGTCAAATGTAATTGCTCCCTATCACCGTCATGGCATTTGACTCTTAAGCATGAGAAAAGTATAGACTTTTTTATTAATTAATAATTACTTTGATTTGTTCGGCGGATTCTTCGGGATCCTTAGACCGACACTTTGGGTAGTTATGTAATTAATAGTTAGAAGGTTATATTTTCAATATTTGCATCATTACTACTTGTATTTATTTTGTATTGATTATGGTTGATCACAAAGTAAATTCAAAGGCCTTCGTGTGTTTTTAGACAAAATGATTTATTATATATTTATTTATTTAAATTATTATTTTGTCAAACAAATGTTTTATTGTGATCGAGCCAGAAATAATCAAAGGTACCAAAATAAATATATTAATTAAGTAGTCGGATTGATGGCTTTATTTATCCGATAACTAATTATGCATAGAGGGATCAAAGTGCAATATTGACTTAGAGGTTATTTATTATTTAATTGAAGTTCAATTAAATTTATTTTAGTGGAGTAGAAATTAATTTATGAATTAATTGAATTGGGTCTATGGATCGGGCCAATTGTTAATTCATTGTAGCCAATAAAATAATAGGCCCAATGGATTCTCACTCATAGCCCAACTTGATATTGGAATCATATTAGATTTGAGACATGTGAATTAGAGATTGAGAAGGATTTGTTGTTTCCTTTTCTTTATTTTTATGTTGACTATAAATATACATGGTCTATATATATTTTAGGGGTGATTTTGATGAGAAGGAAAAAGGAATATATTTTTTCTCTCTAGAAAATTATGGTTAATGTTCTCATCTAATGGAGGCTCCCACAAGCCTAGTTTTCTAAGGTCATTCATAGAGGTTTATGAGTGATTCCTAAAGACAAAACAATTACCAAAAAAATGGAGATCCAAGGAGAAGACATCTTGCTAAGGGATTTACAATAAGTGAGAACATTCACTTTAGAGGAAAGTTTTAAAGATTAACTCAGACCTTTGATATAAGTATTCAATCTGTTAATTGAATGATACATCATATTTTATTTTTGCATAAAACTTGTCTCTATGTGATGAATCAAGATCTATGAATCAAAATCCCTCAAAAAGTTTTTAAATCTAACACGTTTCCTAACAGATCAATGTGTAGTGTTTATTTTGTTTTCCTTAGTGATTCGGACACAATGGTTATGGTTATGGTTTATTTTGTTATGTTTATGTTATTCTATGTTTAGACTTTTACGTAACAACTATGTGACTTTATGTGATAATTAATTATGTGGTTTATGTGATAATTATGTGGCTTTATATGATGATTATGTAGTTATTTGTGATAATTAATATTGTAATATGTAATTCTACCAGGTTTATTATAATGGACCCATTGGAATTTTTGCGTACTTACGATGATGGTGATGATGACGACGATGAGCACATTTTATTTTTATTTGTTTTACTAATGGACGAGTATTTTGAATGTAATATGAAGCCAAGGCCATGTAGAACTTCTGGGCTTCAAGGCCATGCTTATATGCTTGAAATATTGAGTGGCCACCCTGCTAGATGTTTTCAAATGTTCAGGATGGAAGTGCATGTCTTCATAAATCTATGTGAACGATTGAAGGGATTGGGATTAAAAGATTCTAGGTACTTAACTGTGCAAGAGCAAGTAGGAATGTTCTTGTATACTCTTGCACACAATGAGATAGTTTGAGTAGTGGCTGAGAGATTTCAACATTCTACAGGTACAGTCTCCAAATATTTTCATCGATGCCTTTATTATGTGTGTAAATTGGGGCAGCAAATAATTCGTCCACCAGATTTTAACATTGTACCTCCAGAAATCCGCAACAATGATAAGTTTTATCCATTCTTCAAGGTTAGTTTTCTTTTTTTTTTTTTTTTTGTAACTCAAGTATATTTTTATTTCCTTATTATTTTTTTTTTGTATTATGAAATTCAAAAAATATATAAATATATTACAAATGTAGAATTGTGTTGGAGCAATTGATGGAACACACATCCACGCATATGTTCCATCATCAAATCAAATTCCTTATCGAGGGAGGAAGTCAGATACAACACAAAATATTTTGGCCGTGTGTTCTTTTGACATGAGATTTTCTTATGTATTGGCTGGATGGGAAGGTAGTGTAAATGACTCAAGAGTTTTAATGGAGACTATTTTCAATGATAGTATGCAATTTCCAACACCACCTGAAGGTAATGTTGTTGTTGTTGTAAAGTTGTTTATGCTTATATTAAAAATATACATTAATGTGTAGTAATATTTTGTGACAGGTAAGTACTACCTAGTTGATTCCAGATATGCTAATATGTCTACATTCTTAGCACCACATCGTGGTGTTTGGTATCATTTGCAAGATTATAGAGGTCGTAGGGGACAAGTACGAGGCCCTAAAGAGTTATTCAACTATAGACACTCATCACTTAGAAATGTCATTGAACGTTGTTTTAGGATACTTAAGAAACGTTTTCCCATTCTTAAGTTGATGTCGAGTTATGATGTAGACATGCAAGCACAAATCGTAGTTGCTTGTTGCACAATCCATAATTTCATTTGTGATGAAGCACGTTTAGATCGTTTATTTAATGAATATGAAAATGAGAATGTTGGTCTTGAAGAAGATGAATCAGCTAGTACCTCTACACCTCATGTCCCAGCTGATGTAAGAGTTACTCAAGATAAAATACGACTGATGAATGGAGTTCATGATTCAATCACAAATGAGCTGTGGAACAACTTTCATAGAGGGTGATTCATAGTGTCATGTGGTTGTTATGAATTTTATTACTATATATTATTAAGAATTGTGACTTTAATATTATTTGTTATGGTGTAGTTGTTATAAATTTTATTACTATGTATTATTAAGAACTGTGATTTTAATATTGCTTGTTATGATATTGGTTTTTCTCTTTTAGATTATATCTTTTATTTGGATTGAAAGTTAGATTTTGATAGATAAATGAAAAAATAAATTAAAAAAATTTCCAAAAAAAATATATTTTTGTAACAAATGTTTTACTAAACACTGCTTTCTGTTTTTTGTTATTAAAATTGTGGCAACAGAAAAGGTTACTAAACGTTATTTTTGCTTTCTGTTTTTATTTCGAAAAACAAAATTATGTTTCTGTTTTTTTGCGACTACAAAAACAGAAAATGAAAACGTTACTGAACGCACCTTAGAAAACGTTAATAAACGAACTTAGAAATTGGGTTCGAGCTCGACTCGTTTACTTAATGAACGAACCCGAGCCGAGTTCAAATTGTTCATGAACAGTTCGGTTCATTACAACTCTACATCTGAGTGATATTGACCGAAACCTAAATAAGTGTCAATGTAATTTGCTCTTAATGAATTTACTATCGTTCAATTTTTATAAATTTTGTCTTCTATAGAAATAAGAGTAAAATTGGTATTAATTAAATTTTATTAAAAATTACTCCATTGTTATTCTTTCTCTTTCCTTCCACTTCCTGGAAGGATAACAAAACTAACCCACTATATCTAAATTGTGTATCATTTGAAATTCCTCAATTTCCTTTCTTTTAATTCAATGATGTACGATCAAACATCACATTTTATTTCAAAAGTTCCTTCCATTACATTTCCTTTCTTTTCAATTTTGCTTTTAAGTTTTTCAAGAAAATAAAAATAAAAGTAAAATAAATGAGTGAAGGTTTTTCTCCCATTTTTAAGATTCACACCGCCGAAAAACAATTGCGGGCCAGTTCTCTCTCCCTTGTATGAACTCGAAACAGAAACACAAAAGGCAATAGCAAATTCCACTTATTTCCGAGTTAAAGACTTGTTTTCAGCGCACCAGTAGCAACAATGGCAGTTAATCCCTCTTCTCTCACTTCATCGTCTCACTGTTCACTCCCACTGAATCGTAGCCTCCCCTCTTGTTTTCAACGGACCTCGCTAAAGTTTGCTTTTTTCAATGAGCTTCCCAGTCCGAGGCTCGTGTCGGTTCGTTCCCAAAACCCTAATTCCGACTCTGGAAACGTATCGTCGATCTCCAACGTCGATGGTTTCGGATCCGGATCCAAGAGATCGACCCATTTGGATGATACCCAAGCTTCGTCTTCGTCTTCGTCTTCGTCTTCATCTTCGTCTTCATCTTCGGCCATTGATTTTCTCACTCTGTGCCATCGCCTTAAGGTATATGTGTATATATATGTGTGCTGCGAAATGTTATTTTGTTTGGTTGCATGTGTTTGATTTGGTTTGATCTGAATTTTCCAGTTTTACTTTTTTTCTTTTCGATATTTCAAATGCTGATTTATTGTCATGATAAGACGATTCTGATTGTAAATTTGTAGTTGAGGGAATTTCAAATAGTAGGAAATATGAGGTACAAACAGACAGAATGGTGTTTTGTATGGTACGTTGCATTTAGTGCGCAATAATTGGATAAATAAGGGTGTCTAGTGCTGTGCCAAATGCTGATGTTCATTGCCATTGTATCAATACGAGGTTCTGGGTTTTGGTATGATATCTTTCCGGAAATTATCCTTAAATACTCAAACTCACTGGCACCATGCGCTGAATAACGCTATCGCGGAGCGCTCTTTAGTAGAGGGGCTCGGAAAATTAATGACTCAAATTAGTCAATTATAACTATCTAAACAATTCCCAAAACTTAGGCTACCACCTAAACAAAAACAGAATCAAGAAATAGGTCCTTTAGCGTTGCAATCAAATGGTTGAGTTTGGTGTGCCAAATTCCTTAGAGAAACCCAGAATGCCTTGTGGTTGGGTTGTGGTGCCACGATTCAAATGAGAATATAGTTATGCATGAAAATTAACTTTGTCAACCATCATTTTTTTTTTCAATTGAAGAAAGAAAGATATATAGGATGGATATGGGTGGTGATGTTAACTTGTTAAAAACTGGTCATCAGTGTTGCATTCCACTGTAGGCTTCAAATTACTAGCCCGCAAGCTTCAATGATTGATGTAGCCCATCAAAGCACGATGATAAGGTTGTCAGCTGACACATATAGTGGTGTCCAATTTGAAGTTCGTTTTCAGTTTTGTGAGAGTTGGTGTCTACATTCATCCTTTCATGTACAGGAAGCAAGTGTTCTTTGAGCATGTTGAGGATGTTGTCCATAGGGCATGTGACGTTTATTCAGGGCCTTGCCTCTTGAGATCTGTGACTTAAATTTAGAATGCATTGAGATACAAATGCATGTGTGCCCTGGTACATATAATGGTTGTAGAAGGCTTAGGGGAGTCACTCTTTTTTACTTCTGGTTATACAATTGTCATGGATTGAACTTGTCAAATTAGTTGACTGGGAATCTGCCATATGGTTCTTAGGGGTGGTTCTGAAGGTTAATACACGGTTTTGAAGTGGGTTAGGATCGAATTTGTTGAAGCTTGGCCGCTCGGGGATGAATTTTGTGTAAAATATTGGGATTTAGATTTCAGGAATTTCTTGGCATCAAGCACAAAGCCAAGCTTTTAGGTACTAATAGTGGTGGGGGATATATGGTTAAGGTTTTAGCATCAAAGGTTTAGTTTTCAGGGATAAGATAGGGTGATTGATGGCTGGTTAATGCTATTAATTATGCACAACGCTGCTGGGAATCAAATGAATATCCGCTACTAACAGCCTTAGATCTTGCTAATTTGAGATGTGGTTATGCACACGGACTTTAGTACCTGAAAGAATGAGGGTTGATACCAACCGTTCTGTTGCTCATCACACGATCCCATATGCAATTGTTTCCTTAACCTGTGATGCTTGCTTGAACTTTATTGGATTCTATTGTTTTGTGTCCAAAAACCTTTAATAACACAAAAATTGATTCAGATGGTGAATGACTGGTTTGCAGTTGCACAATTATTCACATGGTCTCATGGTTGGCTGCATCATTAGTATTTAGTAGTTTGTAGGGACCACCTCTTAGGGTCTAATTATTCTCTCTCCGCATATCCTTCCATGGGTTTCACCTTCCTTTAGCAGCACATCCTTCTGTGGGATTAAAATATTGAGTCCTACAATGTGACTAACAGAGGCTAGTCAGTGTTGGTCCATATTAATTGAGAAAGGTGAAGCAATCTTGCTTCTCCTTCATTTGATGGTTTTTTGGAAGTTAAAAGCCACCTCTCTAAAACTTAATTATCCTTTAGGGAGAGAAATCGCAGCAATGGCCTTTATAGATAAATACTTCTATGCCAATACAGTGACAAAGAGTCTCATTGTGACTCAGGCTGAGCTGTGGTAGTATGATAAAATTATTCTAGTTAAATGGTGTGCAGAGGAAGGAAGAGTCAACGACCTTGTTTTGTCTTCTGAAGGTGCCGGATGTGTGGCATTAAACTGGCTTTTGTTGCAGCAACTTAATTTATATGGTGCATTTGGATATTAAGTTCTGTGCATTTTTTCATCTTTTAGATTTGTTGTACTTTGTGTCATGGAGACCCAAATATTATGATTCCATGAATCATCTTTTTATATGGAAGCTTCTGTGATCTTTTAATGGGAATTTTCTCTCTCTCTTTTGTAGAGCACAAAGCGGAAGGGATGGATCAATCATGGGATAAAAGGCCCCGAGTCTATTGCTGATCATATGTACCGCATGGCATTGATGGCATTAATTGTTGGTGACCTTCCTGGTGTCAACAGAGAAAGGTTGGACATGAATACTTCTGCTCTTTATACTTTCAAGCTTGTTAACCTGCTTTTTTTTTTTTTTTTTTTTGTAATATCTTAAAATGAAATAAAACGGTCATTCGTGAAGACTTTTTTCTCTCACCTTGTGGATTTATAAGCTGAAAGAACGGTTGCATGCTTGATTGTGAAGGATGTTCTAACTGTCCTCCAATTGTAAAAGTTTTGACTTTTCAAAACCATAGCTATTCTATATAGTAAGAGCAGAGGGCTTCTTACTTCTGTGGGCCAAACACTTCCTCGCTTCCTCTTTACATTGTTGTCCATTATGTACTTTAATATAAATCAAAATCAAAATATGACATTAAATTGTAAGAACCTAATTGCATAAAATTGAAACTTAAACTAAAGGCCCATTAACCCACAGCCTTTTATAACTTCTGATCACAACCAACTCATTCTTCCACCCCCACCCTCAAGTGAATGATCCCTTGGTGATGCTTAGACACACATCCTATTACAATCTTCCAATGAAAAAAAATGAACAAGTAGATAATGTATCTAATAACCTCTGGTATGTGGGTGGAGGGGGGTATAATTTTTAATGTGCTTTTGGCCATTGATACTTTACAGAAAGTTTGGAAACCGAGATGAGTTTTTTTTCTGTAGTGTGTGTTTAGTAAATGAGATCCCTATTACAAATTTTATGGTAATAACTTTGTAATTTTCAATGGGGGAGGGGATGACTAGGTTATTTTCTGCTTGGTATATGAAACAAGAGGTGGCATATTATATGAATTAAAGGTGAAGGACCATCTTGTGGTAAACAGCCCTTAAAGTGATACACTCAAAACAGTAAATGAATTGAGAGCAGACTAAACTGTTTGAACTAGGTGAGTCTGTATCTGAACCAGATTTTGCTTAGGTGCTTTCTGATCACCTAAGTTGGTGACTAAACCCAGGCTGTGACCTTATATGAAAGATGTCTGGATGGTTGTGGTCACATAGGCTTCCTAGGGTTCCCAGTACCTAATCTCTGGAGTGCCCTTAGTCCACTATCAGCAGTAAATAGTTCATAGGTTTCCTAAAATCTTTTTTTTTTCCCTAGTCAGCTATATGGCTGTCTTTACTTGTAATGAGTATCCTTTGTTCACTTAGCTTCTTTCCAGTTAAGGAATTTGTTAAAATTTTCTGTTTCTTGTTTTTATTTTAATAGGTGTATCAAGATAGCAATTGTGCATGACATGGCAGAAGGTATTCCTTTGATTCTATAATGTTGCTGATATCTTGATATGCTGTGTTAATCTTCCATGAATAGTTCTTTCTTTAACATGAAGATGGAAAGTTTATCACTTCACTAATTTGCTGTATCAATGCTGCAATATGATGATCTTTATTTATTTTTCAATAGGTAACATTATGTTGAAATAATTTTTTTCATAACCACGAGGTCTTTTTGTTTCTGATGAACTGCCTGGTCTACTATGAAGTAAGTTCCAGCTGGTTTTGGTAGTTCCTTAAGAGATATGGCTCAATTTAGGGTGTCTTTTGGTAGTGCTAATGTAATGTTGAAGTTGCTTGGAGTTATGGACCTTTGACCTATTCTCCTCCATCTTCTTTTAATTTACTTCTGTCACAAAACTTCCTGTTGGTTCACTAATTATTGATCAGTCATATGGATCCAATAAGATGTTATTACGATTAAGGTTATACCGACGAACAGAGGTTTCGTCAGCAGACTCCAGATTATACCATAAGAAACTGTTCCACAAAGAGGAGTTGGGGGGGTTACGGGTGGGCACAAGCAAACTGTCATTTCACCATGACTATTGTCTTTAATGTCATTTCATTTCTTCTTCTTTTTTTCCCAGTTGTAGTGCTCGTCTCTTTTTAGAGAGAATATTCATAAATCTAACTACTAAAGCAACTGATTTAATATTAGCTGATACTGTTTTTCAGCATTCAATATTCTTTATATCGGGGGAAAGCTACCCCATTTGTTGAACTTTTTTTTTTTTTTGGTGGGATCAAGTGCTTGAACTGTGACATAATGTAGACTCTATTAAAATAATTGACAGAACAAAAATTGTTCCAAAGATTTAATAAATCTGCAATTCTATTAAACTGGTTAACTACGATAATGCACGGATGATATTTCCATGAAAAATAATTTGTCTCTGAGAAAGACAGATTTAAAAGATGTACCTTCAAGAAAAGAAAAGGATTTGTTTGCATATAGTTTATGAACCAAAGACAAAGTAAATGGAACTTCCCTTTGAGGTAAAAAATTCCTAGAGGAATTCCAATGCAGTGTCTGTTCTCCAACAGCAGATATGACTGAGAAGATGACTATGGACCAAATACAAAACAAATAAGGATATGGAGTCACTGCTGTTTTATTATTTTGTAATAATAATTTTTAATTTTTAATTTTTTTATTTTATGTTAAGAATAAGCAGATGCAATACTATAGCTCATCAATTTCCCCATTATGAGAGCTTTAAATTGTTTTTGCATGTTTTATCCATATTACCATCACTTGGTCTATTTAATATCAATCAAGGTAACTTTGAAGTCACTAGAGTGTTTTAATATATAAAGATTGAATCTTTGAATATTAAAACACTCTTTGTGACTTCAAAGGGAACTCAAATAAGCTTAACTCAAAGCTCTCATTTTCATTCCAATATTCAATCTTTATACATTAAAACGCTCTAATGAAATCAAAGTTACATACACATGGAATGTTCCTTAGATAGCTTTACACAGTGCTGTGTCTAAATTCAAAAGAGGGATACAATAGTAAATGCAGCAATTTCAAACTTACAAGCCTGAAAAGTGGAGTCCTCTAAACATGTACGTTTTCAATGTTTTGCACTTATTGTTAAGAATGGTGATTCTTGATCATGGTGAGATAATTAGGCATTTTGCATTTGGACCAGATCTAGTAATACTTATTGTATATTGATGTACACTTTCATGAGAGTTTAGTTGACTTGAGTATACATGTGTGTGTGTGCACACACATTGGTTGGTAATTTGAGTAGTAGATTAAGCTTTGGCATCCCAAATGTTTCTAATAATTAATAGAGTGTTTGAACTTCTTTGTCTGGATTTAAATGCTGATAAATTATAAAATGTGATGCTCCCTATCCTCTTAATAGTGATGCCATATAAACTCACTGGTGTGGTGCTAATAATTGTCTCTTTTTTCTGATCTCTTTGTATACATGTTCTTGATGTTTTACTACATTTACAGCAAGTGTGATCCATTCTCAGATCCTAGAAAATGATAATCTTTTTTTGTTGTATATTTCACTTATTAAACTCTAAGGGCTTGTTTTGAAACCGTTGTCGATTTGCGTTTCCGTTTTCGTCCGAAATCGGAACATGTTTTGTGGTTGTTGTGGTTTTTGTCCATTTGTGATTGGAAGCATGTTTGGTAACGTAAAATTTGTTGCAAGATTTTTGGAAGCAAAAACATGAAAGCGTGTTTGATAACGTCAAAGTGTTGCACGACTGAGTGACATTATGGCTAGTTAAAAAGGCCCACTACAATTGTTTAGACTATAGTGTGAAACATTAGGAAGGTGTTTCCTTTTTGGGCCTCTTTTCGAAAAAATAAGGGGTACTGTTCAAATGGCCATAACCAGTTACCAAACATGTTGCCATGTTTTGCTTCACTACAGTACACCACCCGCATCATGAAACACACAACACAACAAAAACGTTTGCCAAACAGGCCCTAAAAGAGGTACAATATGCTTTTGTTGTTGGATGGATTTCAAAATTTAGAACTTCTTGTTTAATTTTTGCAGCAAAAGTATTGGTTGATGACTTCACATTCTTCGTTTTCTTTACACCATTTCTGTTGTTTGGTGACTTGCGATTTCTTAATTTAACAAGTTACCTTGGTATTATGGTTTTGGGAGTCGGAGTTTGAGATGCATTTTTGGACTTGTATAGCCATTGTTGGAGATATAACACCATCTGATGGTGTGCCTAAGGAAGAAAAGAGCCAAATGGAGCAAGCAGCTTTAGATGAAATGTGCAAAGTTCTTGGTGGAGGAATGAGGGGTACTCATTAGTAATCACTATCTTGGATTACTTGTAATTTACAACAACTTAGTTGTAACTCAATGTCATATTTTTTTGCAGCTGATGAGATTAAAGAGCTATGGACGGAGTATGAAAATAATTCTTCCTTGGAGGCTAATCTTGTGAAAGATTTTGACAAAGTATGTACCTGTTAGCATTCATATGACATTCCAACTGTTTTTTCAAAACAAATAGGCTTAGGACTTATTGGATTTATACAATGCCATTCTCTTGTAATTTCTTATGTATTGCAATGCAGAACAAAGCCCATGGATGAATTTTTTCTCATGGTTTGATGTGGTTCATACTGAAGAAATTTTATCCTATGCTGACATTCTAATTAGATTGGATTTCTCTGTTATTTTCCATGTTAGACTGCATTGATTGAATGCACTGACATTTTAAGCTTCCAGTGTGTGTTTTTTTCACTCAAAAACTATTCTGAAAGTAATTCTGATGTAAATCTATTAGGACTTTCCTCTGTGATACTAGAAATTAGCAGTAACTCGTTGTAAAATAAATAAAAATGAAACAAAATGAAGAAGCAGCCCTTTTTATTTTTATTTTTTATGTCTACAGTACCTAATACAAGCAAGAGCAAGCTGTGGAGTGTAGAGTGACATTGAAAAACTATAGAGATTATTAACTCTTCAATAGTTTGTTTCTCTTCCAAATGATATTTGATTGTCTCAACTTCGCATCCATTCTTTGTACACGTGTTGGATTATTGGGTGGTATAACTTTTTGAGAGGCATTATTATGCCACCTTAAGGCTGAAGTTTGAAACTCTATTACTCTTATAATCATCATTAATGTGGTTAGCTTGAAATGACATGTAGCTTTGAAATGAAGGTTCTCAAATGCCTCATTTTTATATTGCTCTCCCGAAATAATGAAGACATCGTGTTTATTGATGGGAATGTCTGAGCCTTTTAGCAAAGAGTTCAAGGTTATACTAACAAGTTTTAAAATACCAGGACTACTCAACTAAAATTTCTGTATATGCATGACATCTACTAATGCTTTGGTACTTTGATCTTATTTCTAAATTATTGGTATCTTTATATGAGCTGCTGTGTAAGATTGTAAAGACGATCCAAGGAGTTATAACTTCTTTGTTTTTGTATATATATATATTTTTTTTGGGTTTGTGGGGTGCATATAATACACATATGTCCACTGCTTTAATAAATTATTTGGTCTACCTTCTGGCTTCTTGTAGTGATAATTTCACATGTTTCTCTAACCAATTTCAATACTTTTTCAGGTTGAAATGATTCTGCAAGCATTGGAATATGAAAAGGGTAAGTTTTTGGTCATGAAAGTGGTACATTTCAACTCAAATTGTATTGTCTGATCCCTGAGCTGGGAACAGAAGATTTTTTTTTCCGCATAAATTACCCTTACCTCCTTCAGTTGGGGTCAAGGCAAGAATGATGATGACGATGTTTTCCTCCCCTGAGGTTTATAGAAATTGCAACAATATCCCCTATTTTTGAAAACTGACAACATCTCATTGATGTTAGATGTCGTTAATAGAATTTGTAATTTTACTTTTTTATCCTTAAGTTGGTCTAATACTTTTAACATAAAGAAGAAAGAATAGCATTCCCTCCCTTTAACCCTTTATTTTGTCTTCTCTGCCCAGCTCTTTCTCTCTACAAATCATTCTTCCCTTTCGTTAAAACTTCATTACCTGCTCACACCGACCTTCTCCTCGTCCACATCAGTTGCGAATCTCTGCCACCATCCGAATGCTCCAAGATCCCCTAAACTCGCAATAGAGGGAATTTATGGTAGCTTTGGTGCAGCTTAACAGTGAGATGGAAATAAATTTTAAATTCTGGGTCAAGCAAAATTAAAAGATGAATGTAGAGATCAAAACCAAGCTAAGCACAAGCTTGGCATTATACCACATAGCAAAGAGGAATGTGAGATCAGGAGGCCGGAGACGACCGTTCTTTGGTAGGTGCCTTTTTTCTTTGGTGGAGATGGGTATAACATGGCAGTGAAAAGCTGACTCCCACCATGCTTCAGTGTCGAACAACTCTTGTCACCACCTGATACCCCACTTCTGTCTATATAGACGTGCCTCTGCTCACAATAACAGAATAAGATTTACAGAGTTGCAAATTTTAGAACTAATGAATTATCAGTTTCATATGATATCAACTAAAATGTCTAGTATGTATGTCTTGAGTCATTGATATAGTTTTTTCTTCTTCTTCTTCTTCTTCTTCTTCTTCTTCTTTTCAAATGCTTGATGAAAATATGATGCCTTGGAATTAGAGAGCAATTTTGCTACAAGCATATTTGCTGCTTCTTTTTTCGCCATTGTATATCTTTGAAGTTCAGACAGCTGAATAGTTTGTCTTAACATTGGTGAACTATCTGATCTTTTATCATATGTTATTGTGGCAGAACATGGGAAGGTGCTGGATGAGTTTTTCCTTTCAACTGCTGGTAAAATTGAGAATTAATTTGTTTTAAGCGGTATATAATTGTATAATGCTGGCATAATCTTCTCTGTAGCTACTGAGTTTATTCATGGTTTTTATTTTTATTAATTTGCAGGAAAATTTCAAACTGAAATAGGAAAGAGTTGGGCAGCTGAAATAAACTACAGGAGAAATTTGAGGTTGGGAAATTGACTTTATTGATTATCTGGTCAAGTCTTTCTAAATTTTGCTGGTTAGGCCTAGCCAACTTCTTTTGAATTTCTCCGATCGAATCATACTTGGTCACCATCTTTGCTGTCATTTTATTTGGAAGGATAACTAATTTCCACTTGAAATCAACCAAGATGGTTTGATCAGCGTATACCGAATGACTGAAGTTTTCGGACTCTAGAACTTTAGGGTGAAGCATATCCATATGTTGTGAGCATCTTGCGTGTTGTCAGATATTGTAACCTCATTTATTTTTGTATGTAGTTCCTTCACTGCACAAGGAATTTTATCTCCAGTAGTTATAAGATGATAGCATTTGTGGAGCTGAAATGCCGTGTCTTTGAGGGATGCTTATTCATTCGTCTTTCTTATCGTTGGACCAAAAAGTGTTTGTGCCAATGAGTTTAGGTAGTAGTGCATTGACAATAGCACAGGCCATTTCGGAGGACAAGGAAAAAATGTTAATGATCAACTTCTATTTTTGAGTTTTTACTTTTTAGTGTGCCAAGTGAAGTGAAATCATTTGAAGGGGTACCACCAATTAGCTTGCAATTAGGACATAATGGTAATTTTCCTAGATATGTGTTTTGATGCTCAATGGTTCTCTTTTTGTAGCACATTTCCGCTTTCAGCCGGATAAAAAAAAAGAAAAGAAAAAGAAAAGTTGACACAGACAGCTTTAACGTCTTCTTATCACCTTCTACTCCACCGACATCAGTATTTGAATATATATATATATATATATATATATATTCCTTAATAAGACAAGCAGACATCAATAAATGGAGCGGAAGTGATTAGTGGATCGTCAAAGCAATAAAATTTAAGTTACACAGTAAGGACAAGCGGCACTATTGTGAGACTTTGAATTTCGAATATATATTTAAATTGTGTTATTTCATATAATTTTTTTTTTCCTTTTTTCTCCTTTAATCTAAAAATGAATAATAAAAATAAAAAAATAATTTTAAAAATACAAAGTAGAAACTATTAATAAGAAGGAAAAAAGAAAAAAAGGCGAACTCACGTGACAAGCTTCTGCAGGGTGGTCAACTATATGTATGGTCTCTATTTACGTCTTTGGCTTTGAATGATTCACAAATTGAAACATTACTAGTCGTTGTTTCACGGGCTTCCATTTGCCAACAAAATCTGACAAAAATTTGGAATCTTTCTCCACCTTTTTTATAAAAAATTAAAAAGTGTTTTTGTCATTTTATAATACTACCAAGTAGCTTTGTACCCATTTCATTGTGTGTTTTTGAGAGTTGTACATTAATATCTTTTATCAAAATAGAAATAGTAAATTAAATTAATCTTTGTCCAAAATAAATTATTTGCATTTATAACATTTCTTGTTGTCATAAAATGGTATTAAATAGTTAGTACGAATTGACATTTTTGTTTATTCTATTTTATTTTATTTTATTTTAAGAAGCATAATGACAAAATCTTGGATATTAGTTGTAGTGGGTATAAAATATATAAATTAAAATGAATACAAGTGAATATATTTTGTCTTTGGCGGCACGTTGTGGTCCATGAACACTATTAAGCCAACAATACGACAGAAATAGGTATGCTAATTATTTCTATAAAAAGAAAAAGAATTAAAAATAGTGTGTGACATATCTTCTTACTTTTTGGTCACCGTCTCTACCATTATTATAAAATGTTAAGAAAAGTTGAATTTTTTGCTGTTTACAACTAAGTATGAGTAACGTTTTGAGGAGAGCTCCCTTTTTTAAGCGCTATCAAATATTCATATTTCTTATTTAATCAATAAATTGGGTTAATTTTTTTTTAATAAAAAATTAAATGAATTATTTAATATATAGTAGTGATTTACCAATCAAATCCCACCACATGACACCTTAATTTGGTTCTGTCCCACACTAGCTATCATTTTTCATCATCCAATCAAAGCCCACGGGGGCTAGTAGTGTAGTTATTGTCTAACGGTTGTAATTAGAGACAAGTCATTATTTAAATGAATCATATAATATATGAGTTTCGATCTCTCTTAATAACGTTACTTTAATTAATAAATGTGCATGTCTTCCCTAATTTTCATACCATTTAATATAGGACACTTTGTTGTTTTTTAAGTTCTTCTGAGTAATCATTATGAGCAATATAAACTTGTATGCATTATTTTCAAACCTGGGAAATAAAAAATAATAATAATAATAATAAAAAAAGCAAGCAAACAAACAAAAAAATGCAAAAAAATAATTGATTTTTATTTAATGAGTTTTGACCCTACTGTGTTGTACTATTAGTACAAATTAATTGAGAATAAAAGGTGCAACTTTATTAAAATCGAGAATGTAATATCATTAAATCTATTATTTAAGTAAATATATTATATAAGTGTTTACATTTTTAAATTTAACCCAAATTGCATCATCTTTCGAATTTAACCAAGAATATATCTCTAGAAAAGTTAAACTATTTAATTAATATAATATCAAGAACACAAAGTTGGATTACAATATTAGATCAAAACTAAAAAAATTGCGGTCAAACACGGCTGTCCGAAAGAAAAAGTCAAATGCGCCGACAAACTACGATGATTATTCTTTGGAATTTTATTAGTAAACCTGTGTGAACGCGCGCATCGTATGTAAAGAGGTACGAACTGAGCCACGCTGTTTGTGACACGTGGCACCATGTTTAAATGGAATCTTGATGCCGTACTGTCAATATCCTGAACGCGCTTGCATTGAACTAAAACCCTTGGGTAGGGAATTAATAAAGTTAAATTACAACACATTTCTGATTAATTTTGTACACATATTTTAATGAAAATGAGATTGGTGTATTTCGCATCAAGTAAATAACCTAAGCAAATATTTTTGATTGATTATTTATATACACCATATGAGTAAGTGAAGAGTTTCACTCAGAAATTTGCTGCATGAATAGATCAATTAAAATAAGTCATTAATTCACTATAATAAATCATAGTATCATTTTCCTAAAAAGAATAGTGATTTAGGCTGGGATTGAACTTGACAGTTACTAAATTTAATTGATGCGCAAGTCTATTACATGACTTGATGATGACATTATATAATATGTTCATCATTATAACTTTCACATAAATTAAATTTGATAACTATAAATCACACTCCTAATTTTAAAAGTGTGTGTGTTATAGTACGGGACTGATACACGTGCTCAAAAAAATAAAAATGATAATAAATAATCATTATTCTTAACCAAATTTAAAGGGAAGAAAGTGCAATTTTGACAACCTGGGTTAAAAAAAATAATTGAACAAAAAGAATACTAAGGCATTTATATAGTATAAAGGTTGTCTCTCATTATAAAAATTGTAAATTGTTATTAAAAAAATATAAAAAGTAAATTATAGAGTGATAAATGGTTCTTTTTTCGAAATTTAATAACAGTAGAATTTAACAAGAATTCTTTGTTTTACTAGTTGATCCTCACACACCCTCCTTTTAAAAAATTATTTACACTCAAGAAGAGTCCAATCTTAAACCTCATTCTTCTAGATGCGATCATATGAGTGTCAAATGACTTACCCACTTAAACCAATCCTTAGAGTTTCAACAAGAACACTTAATCATACCAAATAATAGATAAGTTAAACTCCCTCCTCTTTTAATATATCTCAATAATTATCATACCATCTAATAACACAACTGAAAAACAAGATTATCTTTTTGCCCCAATAAAAGTTCTAGTGACAAAAATAATTCCACAATGCGATTTCAGTAAAAAATAAAAATAAAAATTAATTAATTAATTAATAATGATAATTATTAATTGGTACATAAATTAGTCTTTAAATTTGATCATCTCTATAATTAATATTTACATTTACACAAGTATACTTTCTTTAGCATTATGAAGTGACAATTAAAAATTAATTTTGTCAAACAAAAAAAATAATATTTTAAAAAAAAAACATTATGTAGACTAGAAATTCTTTACCAAGCAAATTATGTTTGATAAAATCAGTCCCAAAACATAAGATAAAAAGGCACTAAATGAAAAAAAGGACTAAATGTTCTAGATAGTAGTAGTAAAAGTAAAAAAAATCAACTTACTATTATTACAAAGAGTAAATAAGAATATTCAACCAAGGACTTTTGACGAATATTTAATGCCGAAATAATTTGTTTGATTTTGTACGCTCACAATCTGCATTGCGAGTACTTGATAGCCTTTATTTAATCAATAAGTAATACTCCATTGATTTGACGTTTGAAAGAAGCAAAGCAATTCAACCTGAATGGTTATGATCATGCTGTTATCATAAGAAATGTGATCAACATGTTATTATTATACATATTCAAATGTCAAATAAAAAGGAAAAATTTATTCTCGATGTTGCTATCACTATACTTGCTTTGTATTTGAGAGTTGAGACAACTGTTTCCGCGTTTTTGGGTTTGAGCTTCCGAGGCTGAAATATTCCCTGGAATTTGCTAATCCTAGAGAGAGAAACAAAAAGGTAAAGGGTTTCTGGGATTTTTACAGTTGGGTTATCTTCCTTTTTTTTTTTTTTTTCTTTTTTTTTTTTTTCTCCCTTTCTTTTGGATGGTTTGTGTATTTTGCATTCTACATTTGGGACATTAGTGTTCATATATGAATTTTGGTGTCACTTGATTACGTCTTTGCTGATCTGGGTTCTTGTGCGAACCTGTTTAACTGATCTGGGTGACTGGGTTTTGCTTGAAACGGTGATTAGTGATCTGGGTTTTGCTCTACGAGTGTTTGGTTTTCTGGGTTTTGCTCAGAATTTGTTTTGGTGATCTGGGTTTTAATCTGGAGAAGGATATTTGATTTCGCGTGAAGTGTTCGACGAATTGCCTGTTTGGCTGGTGGATTTTGTTTTCATTTTCTCAGAGACTGGGAATTTTGATTACTGGCTTCCAAACTGGTTTATAGAAGAGGTCGTGCGGTCTGTGGACTCTATGTTAGATATATAAAAATTTGAACTTGACACTGGATAGTGTGATCTATAAAAAAATTCAGATTTTGGCTGTTGGATTTTGATTGTTATTGAGAAATGAGAATGATAGATGAGAGATTTTGATTTGCCTAATAATAGTGAATCTTGAGAAACTATCATGGAAGGCTGGAGATTTTGGTGACATTATATTGGCAATTGCTTAATTTTTGTTAGTTTTGGATACTGATCAGATGGCGAGTCCGAATTCTCCACCCTCTGCTGTCCCACCGGATTCCACCACTCCTCCACCACCACAGCCTTCATCTCCTCCTTCAGACCCTTCTGCAACTCCACCGTCTTCGCAGCCCAACGCCAATCCACCTGACACGGCAACACCTACTACTCCATCCGAGCCACCCCAATCCACTACTACCGCTAATGTGACATCTCCTCCTCCGGCCTCACCATCACCCCTATCACCACCACCTTCTTCTCTAGCGTCATTGCCGCCTACAACATCACCCCCTCCTCCACCTGTGACACCTCCTCCGTCTACACCTAATGCTCCACCCCCATCCTCCAATTCTACTCCACCTCCGTCGACAAATTCACCAGGAAGTTCACCTCCTCCTCCATCATCAAGTCCCCCAACTAGTTCACCTCCACCTCCATCATCTCCTCCCCCAACTAGTTCACCTCCTCCTCCATCATCTAAACCACCAGGAAGTTCACCTCCTCCTCCATCATCTACTCCCCCAACTAGTTCACCTCCACCTCCATCATCTACTCCCCCAACTAGTTCACCTCCTCCTCCATCAGCTGAGCCACCAGCTAGTTCACCTCCTCCTCCTCCATCAGCTGAGCCACCAGCTAGTTCACCCCCTCCTCCATCAGCTGAGCCACCAGCTAGTTCACCTCCTCCTCCTCCATCAGAGCCTCCAAAGAATTCACCTCCTCCACCAATGCCAAAACCTCCAGTGAGTTCACCTCCACCTCCATCATCACAGCCGCCTCAAAATTCTCCACGTCCACCATCATCACAGTCTCCTCGAAATTCTCCACCTCCACCGTCATCACCTCCACCTGAAAATTCACCTCCACCACCAGCATCTCAAACACCTGGAAGTTCACCTCCACCACCAGCATCAACCCCACCTGAAAATTCACCTCCTCCACCAGCACCAAGACCGTCTAGTAATTCTCCCCCACCTCCTGGGCTTACTCCTCCATCTGTTTCTCCCCCAATTTCTCCGCCCTCCTCAAACCCTCCTTTAAAATCATCACCACCGCCTCCCTCACTTGTGTCTCCACAATCCCCTTCTCAAAATCCACTTCCACCATCAGGTAATCCGACTACAAACACTTCTAGTGGTAATGCACCAGAAATTTCAAGCTCCTCAGGTAATGGGGGCCTTGGTATTGGAGGTTCAGTGGCTATTGGTATTGTATCATTTTTCATACTACTTGGTTTCATTGGAACGGCTTTCTGGTGCGTGAGGAAGCGAAAGAAAAGGGTTTCTGGACTCAATGGCGGTTATGTTCTGCCTACATCGCTGGGCCCTTCCCCACAATCAGGTAATTCTGTATACATTCTCGTATCATTCCCCGAGTGTGCTCTGCCTTTTCGTTTGTTCCCTTTGTGTGTGTGTGGCTTTTGCATGCTTGACTTTGTGTTTGTTCTTGTATATGCACTTCTACGTTTTTGCTGGGTATCTTTAACATGTTATACTTTCTAAAAACTATAAACACAACAATTTTTCAGTCTTTACTTCATAGATGTATCTTTGCTGCTTTCAGGCTAAGGCGGTCATGAACTTAGACACCATAAGTGAGGAATAAAATTAGAGTAGGTCTGAATTTATTGACTAAGCTAATAATATAGCATCTAAATCCTTGTTATTGAGCATGCTTGGAAACAATTTATATCGTATGTTTGTGTGATTGATACTTTTGTATGAAATATAAGAAGGTTTGTAATTTGTGTCCAGATTCTGCCTTTAAGGCACAGACAACAGCACCCCTTATGGGAAGTGGTTCTGGCAGTGGTTCTATATATTCACCAACAGAGCCTGGTGGATTAGGTAATTCAAGGTCATGGTTTACCTATCAAGAACTAGTGCAAGCCACAAATGGGTTTTCAGCACAAAATCTTTTGGGTGAAGGTGGATTTGGTTGTGTATATAAAGGATGCCTAGTGGATGGGAGAGTGGTAGCAGTAAAGCAGCTAAAGATTGGTGGGGGGCAGGGGGAGCGAGAATTTAAAGCCGAAGTTGAGACTATTAGTCGCATACACCATCGGCATTTGGTTTCACTAGTGGGTTACTGCATTTCTGAGAACCAAAGGCTGCTTGTCTATGATTATGTCCCTAACAATACCCTCTATTTCCATCTTCACGGTAATCTTTTATGTTTGAGATTTTGAAGGATTTTTTCTGTGATAATTGGTAACTAACATAAGGGGTTGCTCCTTGTATTTTGTAGGAGACGGTAGGCCAGTAATGGATTGGGCAATGCGTGTAAAGATTGCTGCCGGTGCAGCTCGTGGAATAGCTTATCTCCATGAAGACTGTAATTATTTGTGCTCTCCTCTTCTTGATTTTAATATCTAATGTTGTCTTCTGCGTTATTTATTTATTTTTTTAAAAGAAGGAAAAAAGAACATGCTCGGTAAAAAGGAAAGAAAGAAAAAATCAAAATCATAAGGCCAAAAAACCTTTAGAAAGATAGTGTACCCTTCTTCTTTTCACCGTCTCTTTTTTTCCCTATAATTAATAAAGGTGAGGTGCTCGAATCGACCTCAGGATTACTCTTAAGCTATGATACCTACTTGGTAGCCAAAATTCTTTTGACCTTGTTCCTCCTATGACACGTATCAAATCCAGTTTTTCAAATATAATTGCAGTGTCAGTGATGACATATAGAATGGTGTGTGTTAGTTTGACCATATATTACCATTCACTCAAGCATCAAAGTTTACAGAAGCGCTGTGTTAATTTCGGGGGAAACAATACTTAATATCCTCCCTTAATAAAATCACAACCCGTAGGAAGAATAGATTAGACAATTGAAGGCATTCTCCTTAGAATTTCAAAATGATATTTTTCTCACAAAAAATGGCAGGTTGTCTATAATTGCTATCTTTTATTTTTAAATGTCATGCGCTAGCCTGTGAGGTTAAAATTTTAGAATTCATTTTAACAGTTGCCTCTTATCTTGTCAAGAAAAACAGAAAGAAAAAAATTGCCTCTGTCAGAATTTTTTTTGTCACCAAGGTATATGATATATGGCACATACTGTTAGGTTGATCAATAGGGAATCTTTTTTTTACACTATTGAAAAATAACACCAAGTAAATCCTAACACGTGATATCTTCTGAACAAATGCACTGTCCTACCACTGTAATTTAATAACTGTTTTTTTGTTGAAAGATCTTTCTTATATCATTGTTTGCATATTTATTTCACTTGCTATTTTTCGTATGGCAGGTCATCCTCGGATTATTCACCGAGATATAAAGTCATCAAATATTCTTTTAGACAACAACTTTGAAGCTCAGGTATCTGCAACAATCACAATTCATTTTGTAATTCTCATCTCATAAGATGTGGGTTTACAATTTTTTTTTTTCTGGCTTTACAGGTTTCTGATTTTGGTCTCGCTAAATTAGCTTTGGATGCAAATACACATATAACCACGCGGATTATGGGAACCTTTGGGTAGGCAGCACATCCATAATTGGTCTGGTCATCCTTTTAGGATTAAATCCCCCACAAGTAATACTGTTATTTACATGGTTGGACATATACTAGTCATGTTTTAAAGGTTTCAATTGGTTGATTTTCAGATACATGGCTCCTGAGTATGCGTCAAGCGGCAAATTGACTGAGAAATCTGATGTATTCTCCTTTGGAGTTGTGCTTTTGGAGCTAATTACTGGACGTAAGCCTGTGGATGTATCTCAGCCCTTGGGAGAGGAGAGTCTAGTTGAATGGGTAAGTTTTATGAATGTTAAACCTAGCTCCTGCTACTCCATTAAAAATCTTAGGTAATTTTGGTTGACTTTAAGATATAATCAAATCAAGAGTAAGTGATAAAGAAGAAGAAAGCGGATGAGAGAAAAAGAGAGAGAGATGGGGAAAGAGAGAAATAATGAAAGAATACTTTCATCCTTTCACCACATTCTATTTATAATAACAAGTTTCAGAAATTACACATAAGCCCCAACATTATATAAGTAATAACAAATAAGCCCCTGACAACAATTTTGTAAAACCGCTACTCTATATTAGGCATGCATGAACTGGTTATAAATTTACGAGATCTATTAAGCTAGCTGTTCTTTCATTAATGTAGTGTTATCAGGATGAGTTTGATGGCAGTACAAACCTATGTCCTTTTTTTCTTTTTCTTTTTCTTCTTTCATGGTACTCTTGTTGGTGGTACCAAGGATCAAATGTGTTGCACACCTTCTGTCAGAACACTTGTTGCAGGGAGTTGCAATGCAGGGTGACTTCTTTGCTCTAAGCAGCATAAGATCACTTATGCTCTGGAACCACACATCTAATTTGGGAACAAGTAGGATTTGAAATTTTATAATTGAATCATGACTTAGCATGAGAAAGTGCTGAATTTTGAAGAAACGTGGTTCAATTTTTATTTAGGTAGTGTTTAAAATCAAGTAGAAATATGAAGGCATGCGTCAATAAGGGGAAATACCTTAAGACCCTGCTGTAGAGGGACCAAAACTGGGTAATACCTTTTAATTCCCTTTAATTCAGATTCCAATAACATAAAGTCCATTACCCATTGTCTTCCCCGTTAATCGAGGGTGCTCTGAACCTTACCCTCTGGCATTATGTTGTACAAAGTGGCTTAATTTAAGCTTGAACCTCTATTATTATGCTTGTAGCCAAACTTTTACCACTGCATCAAGCAATGGCCCCTATCATATACCGATGAGTCCTCTGCTTAGTTCTTCAAGTCTTGAAAGGCACAACCTCATATTATCGTTACAAAAATGGTGAATAGAAGGGTCATCTCTTTGTGAAATGGTAAAACCTCATGCTCCCAAGTGTGAGAACACAAGTTTAATTGGAAGGCAACTTTTTTGTGCACATAACATCATAGGCTAAGAAGCACGGACATGGACACGGATCCGGGACACGGATACGACACGACACGGACACGGCGACACGCCAAATCCAAAAAAATTAGGACACGGACACGGCGAATAGTGTATATATATATATATATCAGCATTAATAATTTAAAAAAAAAAACACTGATATGTTGAGGTTGGAATATATATATATATCACTGATATGTTAGTATATATATATATATCAGCATCTTTAGGACACGGACACGGCGAATTGTGGCATCTTTAGGTTAGTATATATATATATATCAGCATCTTTAGGGTAGTACAAAACAAAAAATAGAACATATCAGCATTAAAAATTAAAAAAAAAAAAAAAAAAAAAAAAAAATTAACATATCAGAATTAAAAATTTTAAAAAAAAAAAAAAATTCCAGAAAAGTGTGTCCGAGCCGTGTCCGAGCTATCTGAGCCGTGTCCGAGCCGTGTCTGAGCTGTCTGAGCTGTCTGAGCCGTGTCTGTGGCGTGTCCGAGCCGTGTCCCAGCCGTGTCCGAAAATTAAAAAAAAAAAAAAAAAATTCCAGACACGTTTTTTGGCGTGTCCGACACGTGTCGGGGCGTGTCCGACGCGTGTCCGTGTCCGACACGTGTCGGACACGGATTCTTCGCCCATTTTGAAGTGTCCGTGCTTCCTAGATCATAGGTTACATTTGTATCAGCCCCTCACATCATCCTGCATTACCTTTACCTACTTAGTTAACAGTTGTCATTTAGCAGAAATAGTGAATAACTTAAATGAGCTAACAATACATTTGCTCTGAACCTTACCCTTTGGCATTAGGTTGTAGAAAGTGGCTGAATTTAAGGTTGAACCTCTATTCTTATGCTTGTAGCCAGACTTTTACCTCTGCACCAAGCAATGGCCCTTATCATATACCAATGTGTCCTCTGCTTAGTTCTTCAAGTCTTGAAAGGCACAGCCTCATATTAATCTTTACAAAAATGGTGAATAGAAGGGTCATCTCTTGGTGAAATGGTAAAACTTCATGCTCCCAACTGTGTGAACACAAGTTTAATTGGAAAACAACTTTTTTGTGCACATAACATCATAGGTTACATTTGTATCAGCCCCTCACAGCATCCTGCATTACCTTTACCTACTTAGTTAACAGTTGTCATTTAGCAGAAGTAGTGAATAACTTAAATGAGCTAACAATACATTTGCTCTGAATCTTTCCCTTTGGCATTAGGTTGTACAAAGTGGCTGGCTTTAAGGTTGAACCTCTATTCTTATGCTTGTAGCCAAACTTTTACCACTACACCAAGCAGTGGCCCCATCATATACTGATGAGTCCTCTGCTTAGTTCTTAAGTCTTGAAAGGCACAACCTCATAATAATCTTTACAAAAATGGTGAATAGAAGGGTCATCTTGTGGTGAAATGGTAAAACCTCATGCTCCCAAGTGTGAGAACAGAAGTTTAATTGGAAAGCAAATTTTTTGTGCACATAACATCATAGGTTACATTTGTATCGGCCCCTCACATCATCCTGCATTACCTTTACCTACTTAGTTAACAGTTGTCATTTAGCAGAAATAGTGAATAACTTAAATGAGCTAACAATATTGTTTATAACTATGAAATTTTCACACCAAAGCACCCATGCATGTGCACGCACATAATGGATTGATAGATATGAGGAAGAATTTTGATGACCTAAGAAGAATGGATTGATAGATATGTGTGAATATGGTTAACTGTTCCCCAACAAGCGAACTCTCATCGGTTATTCTAGAAGATATCAACTCTATTTTAGAAGCTAATGTGGACTCCTAGATCTCTAAACAGGCCACAAGCTCGTCTCCTCAGCAAGTGGGCCTTGTTTGTCCAAGTCTGCTTCATTCAGATCACAATTGTGATGTTTGGCCCTCTTGTCTTTTTACAAGCCATAGAGGCTGTCCTTTTTGTTCCCTAGATGAATCAATGGAACTTTGATACCCGGTTCCTGCTTGGTCAATTCCTGGAAGGCCTTTATATAATGGTTTGATAGAACAATCAAAGTGCGTTTGCCGCAACTACGAGCTGGGTACCTTGGCGCATTAAGGTAAGAGAGGTTAAAGGCTAACGCGCTACTTCTGCTAGCAACCGGCCGCGTCCGTTTTTCATCAGCACTCACGCTTTTCAGTAACTTGTGTTAGATGAGGTGTGCGCTTGTCAGGTAGTTGTTCTATAACTATTAGCTCACTAGTAAGCTACTAGGGGCTAGCAGCTATTGTTGTGAGTCGAGTGGAGTAGTACGAAGAGGAAGTTCATTAAGAAACTTCCCCAATCCTATCCCAATCATCTTCCTCGACTCGAGCGTTGGTCCTGTATTGTGCAAGAAGCAGAAGAAAATGTGACTGAGCAGTGTTCATTTTTTGAAAGCTTACTGACTCAAATGGAAATGAAAGGAAGGAACACACATGACATTGGTCAATGTTAAATGAGGATCAAAATAATTGAACCAATATGTGTGTTACAGGAGCTAGTTTACCATTTTGAACACACACGATATGACATGTGTACGCTGACACGTCAAACTCTAGAAAAGTAGGACACGGACACGGCGTGGACACGGCTCATATAAATGTAAATTTTCATTTATATATCTATTGAATAAGACCATTATAGAACATTAATTAATTTATAATTTTTTATACTACAGTTACATAAGTTTGAAATTGAAGCTATTCAAATATCAAAAAGAATATATTATATTATATATGATATTACTATCCTGTCATTGTAGTTATTGTTATTTTTTTTTTTCTCATTACATACTTTGACAAGTGTTTAATGTCAAATTTTTAAGAAAAAAGAGCTTGGACACTTTGATGTATGTGCATAATGTTGTCATGTGTTTGCTTTAGAAAGACAGAGTGTGGGATGTGTTGGTCAAGTGTTCAGAATGTGTCGGCCAAGTGTCCAAGATGTATCGGTCAAGCATCCGAAATAATAAAAATTATTTTCAAATTATAGACACAGCAATGAAGTGTCGGAGACGTGTCCGTGCTACTTAGAATGACATCCCCCCCCCCCCCCCCCCCCCCCCCCTCCTTTTTTATTAAAGTTGTGAGAGGGAGCCCAAAGCGGACAATATTGTTGACTAGTGGTGGAATTGGATCCTGACAGATGGTTTCGAAACTCAAGCATTTTTTGTTGTCTACTCTATTTCTAGCTTTTGAAGAGTTTTTGAGCCCAAATTTGGAGAAGAGAGATTTCTTGATCTAATTCATCTACACTCAGATTTTAGAGAATTAAAAAAAAAAAATAGAAAACAGTTAGAACAGGGATCAGGAGTTACAACCCAAGCACTCTTTTGCTCCTGAGCTTGTATTTTTTAAAATCAAAATCATTGCAAGGGTGGGATCCTCAACTACCAACCATGATAGGAGTTCTTATTCCTAGTTAAATAAACCCCAAAAATAAAGAATTTGTACATGACATAAGCAAGCAAGTGTAAAACAGACCCACATTTTTTACCCACCAAGGATATAGACCTAAATTATGTACAAATTATATCGAAAACGTCTCTTAGATGTATTTCTAAAAACCCTTTAGATCAAACAGTACTAAATAGTCAAATTGGATTTTCACTTTGGCAGTGATTTTGAGGACCTTCTTGAATTAAAATGGTGCAGGAAACATTGTCATTCTGCCTTTAGACAAGCAACATGCTTCTATTTGCCACAGCACCATGAGGAATCTACCCATATTATATACATGTGGAAGTGTACCCAGTGGTGTTGTATTGCTCTTCAAAAGCTTTTGGATGGCACAATATATCCATCAATCAGATATCAAATGAAAAAAATTATACCCGTAAGTTCGAAAAAGTGCATGTAAAAAAAGTAAATTCCTCATCTCATGATTTGGTCCAAATCATATGGTGAATTTTTTAGCCTAGTTTTCCTATCTCAACAGGTTTATTTGGTTGATTCTTCTAGGAAATCTACGCTTATGAGAGCCTAGATTTTGTTGCTCCAATATGCTTTGCAATTAAATGGCTGCACCCACCATGGTGTTTTTGAGTAGTTCACAATTAATAATGACCTATTAAAATAAATAAATAAGTACCTACTAATGAGGTCTGAAACAGACTCTATCCTCGCTGCCTATTTTTGAGGGCCCTTTAGGGCTTAAGGTTTATTCATCTGGATTCTAGGCACCATGAGACAAGTTCACCTCATTAACATATATCCGTCTTTAGCAAGTCTCTGCTGTCTTAAATTTTTCTCCATTTTCAGAACTGAAAGCTTTCATGTAAGGATTCTGTAAAACTGAAGTAATTCAATACAAGGACATAGGAAATTAATCTTTTTTGTTTGAAATTATTCTCCAGCTCCATTTGCTAAAGCTTGATTAAAGTTAGGAAGTTGTGGCAAAACCCTCTCATGGATTTTGATCTGCAGAGCTTAATCCACTTCCTCGTTACCAGGTTTCCTACACTTCAAACTAATTAGGGTACATAAGTATTAATTTTTACTTAGTTTGAAGTACCATTTTGACTAGCAGTTCTGAAAATTTGCAAGTGTTTCTTATAAGTGAAGTAACATAAATCTAGGCAAGGATCTAGGCAAGGGAATTTGCTTCTCTTTATATATCCCACTAGCTCTCTTTTTTCCCCCCTACTTTAGAAATTGAAGTATAGTATATTGAGGGGAGTAATCTCTCTTCTCTTGCACCAATTGGAGTGTCAATATCTAACCAATATATGTTGGCAGCTTAGTCAAAAGAGGGGCATATTTTAGAATTCTCTCTGCAAACCCTAAAGACATTTTTATTCAACTGCTATCTATTTATGTCGTACGGCAATATTTTCATGGCTGTTACCAGTGCTTACATTATATATAACACTAGAATACGTTGAATGGCTTATGTGTTTCGGGAGAGCTTTATGTTAGTTCTTGATTGACTAGGTCATTATTATTATTATTTTTATTTTTTGTACACTTTTGCTATTATACCAATTGTGAAGGTTTTAGTAACTTAAAATTTTAAATTTATCATTCTCGTAAATATTTATCAAGTGTAATCTATCTTCTAATCAGTAATCACCTAATATGTTCAGATGATTGTTTAGTGACAAGTAAAATTAATACTATATATGGAACAGTTATACCATGCAACCTGTTGGTGAAATTCGCTGCAAGGCATATGAGATTTATATATTTCATCAACAGTGTAATAGCTGTAACCATATATTTCAGTTTAAGGCTTTTTAAGTGTAACGTAAAGGATTAATTCTATGTGAAGAATGAAGCTAGTACTACTAGAAAGAGAAGACCAGCAAATCTTCAAGCATGCAGAACGTAAAAATCTGGCTTCAAATATGCTCTCAAACTGCTATATTTTTCTGATAGGCTTTCCGGTCTCATTCTATTGATGAATTGAATGGCTTACTTCAAAATAAGAATCACCTATCTTAAATGGCTCTGTCTAGAATTTTTTTAAAATTTATTTTGTATTTCTATAAGTAGCATGTGTAGTTGTGTACCATTTCCTTTGAGAATTTTTAGCCTGAGATAAGTATTCTGCTGAAATGAGTGTCTGCACATTGGGGGAAAAAACATACTTTAAAGTTGTGGTGATCATGCACTTTAATCAAACAGCTGATACGTTTTGAAGTCAAGCTTTCCTTAACAAAAACTCAATTTATCTATCAGGCTCGACCTTTACTTAGCCATGCTCTTGATACTGAAGAACTTGAAGGGTTGGCAGATCCAAGGCTTGAAAACAACTATGTCAGTAGTGAAATGTTTCGGATGATTGAGGCGGCTGCGGCTTGTGTTCGACATTCCGCTGCAAAGAGACCAAGAATGGGACAGGTAACTAATTATTGGATTCGCTACTGACTAGAAATTTTCCCCGAAATACTTCTTAGGATATGGATTTATTGGGTTTTGTTGTTGTTTAATATGCTTATGGTTCTCAGGTTGTGAGAGCTTTTGATAATATGGCCACCGCAGATCTAACCAACGGAATGAGAGTGGGTGAAAGTGAAATATTCAACTCTGCAGAGCAATCTGCAGAAATTAGATTGTTTCAGAGGATGGCGTTCGGTAGTCAAAATTATAGTACAGATTTTTTTACACAAAATAGTTGGAATAGTTAAAGAGGAATATGGTAAATATTGGAAGAGGTGAAAGCATTTTGAATCCAGAGGGTTTGATAAAGCAAGCTGAATTGAATTGGTCTTGATGTATTTGCAAAGGGGCCTCAGCTGAGATGTGCTGATTTTGTCTGGTGCAGGATAAAGAGTCCGAAATTCAAACCCTTGATTGGATTTTGTAGGGTAGGTTCTATTTCTGCTTATGCATATAAAATAAGCATTTTTCTTTACCTCAATTTTTTTGTTCTTGTAAGTAAATAGTTCAAAGTTATTGTTTTCGGCAATACAGTATTCATTGTTTTTTGTTTTTTTGCTTCTTTTCTTCTCCTCCTCCAGATATCCTAGTAATTATATATGTTTTTAGGCAGCTATGTACCCCTTGCTGTGTTTTATGTGAGTGGGGATACTGTATTGTTTTTTATTTTTTATTTTGGGGGAGGGGAAAGATGGGGTAAGTCGAACTTGGCTTCCACACGACTTAATGTGAGAATTTGATTGGTTGGTGGGTGCGTGCACCTCATAATTTGTATGTGAGCCCAAACTTTAGATAGAATTAAACAGTTTTTAAAATCACTTTCAATCATAATAACACAGGGCAATACTTTGCTTTTTGTTTTTTGATTTTTGAATCAAGAAAGCAAGGCACGACTTTAATAGACCAACCAAAACCATTTTTTGGGCCCATAAGTAAACAAAACTATCATATTTTGGTTGTTTCTCTTCTTCCACCTCATCCGATTCCTCCTCCTCCTCATTGGCTTCCCCTCAAACCTGATCAACTAAAACAGCTCAAGTATATGTTCAAGCGCTTCGACATGGACTTCGGTGGCAGCCTGACCCTCCTCGAGCTGGCAGCTTTCCTACCGTTAGCTCCGATAATTTATTACAAGAAGAGATAATTTTAGTTGTTCGATTATAATGATGACATGATAGCTTATCGACGCGTAATGTAATATAATTAATTAATAGAAACACTTTATTAAAACAAGAAAATTTTAATTGTGTCGGTTGTAGTGAAGATGTGATATCACCAACTTATTAAATACTGACAGGCCAGTGATAGGACTCAATGTGACATGATATAATTATTTGATGGCACAGATAAATAAGGATTAAAGGTGCATGGAAATCTTTCTCCTATTAAAGCAAAGTGGTTAGAGTGTTTCTACTGGTTGGCTGTACCAATGATATAGTACATCCATTGTAACGAGGTTCTCTTGGGCTCAAGTATGAGAAAATCTAAAATATCCCAGGTATTTACATGTGGTACCTCTGAATAATAGACAGTTATCGAAGCCTTCATTTTACCTTGATATAATTTTTTAGAAAAAACATGACTAACCTACCGTCATAACAATAAATGTCTATAATTGCCCTAAACTAGACACAATAGAGGAGTACAGAATGGTAACTAAATACAATAGAAACTGTAGTCTACTGATCACCAAATGCAAGCAAGCCTCCTCCTAAATGGAGCCACAAACCGAACCCTTGGCAAATTGCAACAATCGATGCATCGCATGCGATCTGATAAGGGTCAGATATAAATATTAAAGACTGTATTGAGAGGAAGGGTAGAATGATATATACCGAATAAAAGTACTGTTAAATCATGCATATCTTAAGAATGAGTCTCAAATACTTTCTCTCTCCCGATTTAGATGTCACTTCTGGGGAGTAGAAATTTTTAAGGAAATATGTAAGACGTGCCTTGTCTCTTTGAAAAGTTACTAATTTGTCTTTATATTCAAGTTTGAAATTTTAAACTCCAAGAACATATATGAAAAGATGTAAAATATATTGTGTAAAAAAAAAAAAATGGACAACTACTCATGGAGATGTTATTTTCTCACATAGAAACACAATGTATGGCATATAAGTCATGTGAATACCCTAGAAGAATAAATATTGCAAAGATATTATATTATAAAGCATTACAGGAATTGTGCGTCTACAAGCAAAAACAGCTGCAGTCTACTGGCTTTATATCTGGTTGAAACGTGGCTGAAAAGTGAAAAGTTATCAAACTAGTATATATATATGCGCCAAGGAAAACATATTTTGTGGAACCACCAAATTTCTAGGTAAATGCAAGTGCCGAAGGCCTGAGGCAACTATGTCAAAGACTTGCAATACATAACGTAACGTGCATTATCTATGCCTAAGACATAGGTATCAATTTTGAAATGTCCCACAAGAAAAGTCTAATGCTGGATATTTCAGATTTTGAAATTGAATCTTAAATTTATATGATTCATGATCCCAAAAAAAATGAAAAGAAGAAAAAAATAAAGGAAAAGGAGGAAAGTTTTAGGTTAATAAAAGGCAAACTAGTGATGAAGATCCTGCCCATGCAGGTAGATCTGTAAACGGATCGGATTTGGACCGGATCAGGTTTGATCCGAATCCGATAAACATTTTAGTAGATCCAATCCGATCTGATAATCTGACGGATATTTTGTAAGTCGATTCGAATCCAATTTGTTAATAAATGGATATTTTTTTATAAAAAAAAATTGAAAAAGAAATATATATTAATGTCAAAAGAAAATGATTATAAGAAAACGATATAAAATAAAAGATAAGTAAAATATGAAAGGAAAAGGAAAAAAAAATTTTATTTATTCTTTGTTAATGAATAAAGAGTATGATATTATTAATATGTATATTATGAGATTTATAAGTACGTGGATAAGAACACCACACTATTCTACATATAATATTATGATTTTTTTTTTTTTTTTTTTGGTTTTTGGTGTTACTTCTAACACAAATCTGACAAGAGTATATATATATATATGTAAAATTATTGATATATAATTTTATTCGGATCGAATCGGATTTGCATAATTCATATCCGATTTGTTAGGCTAACGGATTATTGGATTTGGATCATAATCAAGTTATCGGGTTTTTTGTTCAATTCATATCTAACTAATAAGATTGGATTCAGGTCGGATCCGGATCAGAATCCGCTCAATTGACAAGTCTACATGCCCCTAGGGAGTAAACCTTCAGGTTACAATGGAGTAATTTTATGATTGTGACAAGGCTCACCCTTGAAACATTTATGTCAAAAATATTTTTGAAACCTTCCAAAAAAAAAAAAAAAAAAAATTTATTTTTTTTGAAAAAAGAAAGACAATCTCCATGACAACAACGTACGAAGAAAAGGTTTTTAAGTGGTGCAAGTAACCACGCTATGACATGCTATGTTCCCTTCAAAGTCAATACACTACACATTTGATTGTCCTCTTAGAGAACAAAAATTGCATTGAAGGCAATACAACATTTTGAAGTAACAAACTCATTACCCTCTTCTTAGCTTTGCAACTTCTTATTGTTATTGCTTCACCCTTCATGATACCCTCTCAAGCAAAGAAGGAACTTATTCCTTTCATCACAAGAAATGACTTCTTCAACCCTCTTCTTCATCAGCATCAACCTCAACCCCTCTTTTCTCTTCCAATTTTTGCAGAGCCATGGAAGATTGGAACACGCTTCCTGCTGACTGCATTGTTATATCTTGTTGCTGTGAATGCTTGATCCTACAATTACTTGTATTCGTCTTGCTCAAAATTCCTTACAAACTGGTCCGGAAGACCAAAAAATACGCAAAGAAGAAGCTTATGCACAGAAAGAGAGATGAGAAGATAATACAGAGAGGATCACATCAATGGGAAGATGAGTTTATCGGAGTTCGAGGAGGGTTTGGGGGAATTCAAGTGGAAAGTTTTGTCATGAGTGAATTCCATGGTTATGGGTGTTGCATGGAGGAAGTTGAGAAGGTGTTGGAAGACTTGTCTCAAAAGGGTGTGTTTGCATTTGGAAGCTTTTGGGGCAGAGATAACTCAGAGAGCTACTCAACTTGTCTAGAAAAACATGAATTTGATTTCAATGGTGCACAGTACCAATTCATTGAAATGGTTGGCACTTTTTGAGCTTTTCATAACATTGAATTTTGCATTATATATGGCTACAAATTTCCAATGTTTTTATTTTTATATATTTTTTTATAACGAAGAATCAACTTACCTACTAGTTACTTTGGATTCTCGAATGGTTTACAAATAACAATTACCTGCAAATCACACGTATCGTTTAAACTCTGATACTTTTACACTTCGTGAGAATCGAATCAAGGACGTTCGAGTTTACGATTCTTCCACAGAAGACCCTTTATTCACTAAGCCACCTGGGCAGTTTCCAAATTTCCAATGTTGACTGCCATATTAATGACCACTTTTTGTAATTTCATCTGGTTTTATATCTGTGGCAGATTATTGCATTAAGAAATATATGAATGTTAAAAGGCCTGAGCCACCATAACACAATTCAAATGTGCTGACATGGCATAAAAATAAAGGGGGAGGTTTGGGGTTCAATTCTTATTAAACAAGGAAATGCTTGGTTTGAACTAAAAATTGCTTTCCTTAATTAACTTGATTTTTAAATGAGCGGTGATATTTTAACCAAAGAAACCAGAGAAAGTGGAAAGAATGATTCGACCCTTGGATGAATACATTGAAGTGGGACCCACACAAAATTAGAAGACACAAGTTTTGTACAAAAGAGTTTTCGCTAATCTATAAAAATCCAAAGTTCCAAGGTGAGATTATTCATAAGCTTTGAGATTATTCTCATGGCAATGAAATCTTTTAAGATGAAATGATGTGATGGATTATGAAATTAATTATACACTTATTACTTGATCGACTAATTACATAATTTCTAAATTCCTTGATTATGTGTTTGGATTTCTCAACCCTATCCACTCTCTCAAGACCAACCAGTACCATTCAAATCAACTAAGACTTTCAATCTTGCTCATTTATTTAATTTGGTAGGTGCAGAGAAACAACTTGGCTCTTAATTTGATTTTTCTTGGTGCAAGTCAATGATACAAGTCTCCTTCCATAGTTTCTCCCATACCTACCCAATTGTCCAATAACCCCCACCCCCCCCCCCCCCCCCCCCCCCCCCCGGCGGGCGCCCCCAACACACACACACACATTCCTAATAACAGCCATATATATCAATGACGTTCATTGTATGAAGATTCAAGACAGGAGTAAATGCTTTGTACGTGCCATGCCATGAATAGGTCAAATACAAGTTCTAGTACTAATTTTACAACCAATGCTTGCTTTTGGTCCATGCCACGAATAGGTCAAATACAAGTACTAAAAATAGGTCACACGGAAACCAATAATGGATGCGTAACCCAAACTTTAGAATACAATAAAGCAAAAACAATTTTACAATTCACTTTTCAACCCACATAACACACGGCAATACGTACTTGGTTTCTTATTTTTGTGATTTTTAAAATCAAGAAAAGCACACAAACAACACGTCTTTAATAGACCAACCAAAACCATATTTGGGCCCAGAAGTAACAAAACACATCATATATTTTGGTTGTTTTTTCTTCTCCCACCTCCTCCGTTTTCCTCCTCCTCCTCAGACATGGCCGCTCTTCAATCCGATCAGCTCAAACAGCTCAAGGACATCTTCAAGCGCTTCGACATGGACGCCGACGGCAGCCTGACCCACCTGGAGCTGGCGGCGCTCCTCCGCTCTCTCGGCCTCAAGCCCACCGGTGACCAACTCTACGCTTTATTGGGCAACATGGACGCTAACGGAAATGGATTGATCGAATTCGACGAATTGGTCGATGCCATATTGCCGGACATGAGTGAGGAGGTGTTGATCAATCAGGAGCAACTTTTGGAGGTTTTCCGATCGTTTGACCGCGACGGCAACGGCTACATCACTGCAGCCGAGCTGGCCGGCCAAATGTCGAAGATGGGTCACCCCTTGACATACCGGGAGCTGTCAGAGATGATGATTGAGGCTGATACAAATGGCGATGGTGTCATTAGCTTCAATGAATTTGCATCAATTATGGGAAAATCCGCCACCAATTTCCTAGGCCTCGCAGCCTAGATCACGGTACCGTACCTCGGAATATTGTAGAATTTCTCCATGTGTATGTTTAAGGTTAATGTGTTCATAACCATAACGATCACAAATTCACAGTGATTATGAATGATTAATTTTGACTTGATGTCCTTGACTTTTCCTTTATACTTTTTAAAATTATTTTTATTTTGTGATTGGGAGAGGTCATATGGGGCCTTAATGTACATGATTGAAGGAAGAGAGATGTAAGAAAAATACATATATAACAGAAAAAAAGTGGTATCTCAACTCCTTTCATTGGAAGAAACATTTATAAGTTTATTAATGTATATATATTTGTATTATTAATGTATATATTTGTATTGTGAGTTTGGTGCTGCTATGATATGGAGAAAGTATTTTATCTATTATGGGACATTTGGATGTCAATGGAACTTAATCAATCCATTTGTGTTGCAAGGATTTGTCTTTGTGTTAGAGATCCCACGCCCATTTTTGTCAGATTAAAATTCAAAATGTCTAACCTCGATTTTTAATTAATTTTTTTTATTATAAATTTAAGTCTTCTTCTTCCATAAATAACATTAATTTGTCAAAAAAAAAAAAAAAAATTTGTTAACTCAACTTGAAGTTTTCTGGGATGTTATTAAGGTAATGATAATCTCTCCCATCATTTTCTTTTATTTTTATGTCAAAAAAAAAAAATCTTTTTATTTTTCTTTACTTTTTGTCTTTTCTTTTCTTTTTGCCTCCGGCAATCACGGAATTTCATCTTCAGGATAAGTTATTGCAAAGATTCTCCCGACAACTTTAATTGATTTAATCGGACAATTATTAAAAACCCTTGGCTCATAAGAGGACAAGGACATGAATGCCACTGCCAATACATTGGATTAATCATTGATTTTGTAAAAGTAAAAGTCATGGACAATTAATTTGATTTTTTCCTTTCAATACTTCCAAACATAACTTAAAAGAACTTTTATATTATGGGGATTAAGATCGGTCGAATGCATAATCTTATAAAAAATTGAATTAAAGGAAGTGTGGTTGCTCGATTGGAGAGATTATTGATTGTGATCGGAATAATTTATTGGTACGTTGCGCCTAAGTAGCATAGACACGATACACCATACAAATGTAAACATGTCAAATTCTGAAAAAGTAAAGTACGGCCACACAACAAATGTAAATATGTCAAATTCTGAAAAAGTAAAGGTACGGCCACACATGCAGTGCGTTGGCTTAACTATATATAAATGTGAATTTTTATTTATATATATTTATTGGTAATAGTATAATAAAATTTTAATTAATTTCTAATGTATATATATTAAGAGTTGTTCTAAAATTATTTAGAAAACAAATTATGTAATTATTGTAATGATTTTTATATCATATATACAGTTATTTCATACTTTATAATAATAATATTTTTGTTTTAAATGAACAAGTATTATTTTATGTTTCACTAGTGATGATGTATATAATATCAATTTTTCTTTAAGAAAAAACTTTAACACTTTTAGAATGTTTTTATATCATTTCAAAATTATGGCGTATACTTAGTGCTAAAAATGTAGAAAAATGTAGAAAAGAGTCGGTGTAAGTGTCCGAAAATCATCGACTAACAAATAAAATTTAATTTAATTTTTATTCATAACAGTTTATGTGAAGTATCAGACACTTGTACAACAAACAAAAAAAATAAATTTAAGAAAACATTACACAAAAAGAGAGAGTTATAGAAATACACAAAAAGAGAAAGTAGAAATAAACAGAGATTTATAACTGTGTATGAAGTACCTGACACTTGTGCAATGTCAGATACAACTCCTTCTGCAATGTCAGATACAACTCCTTCGTAGATGTATTGGCGTCTCTCGTCCACACTGGGTTCTATTTAAGGGGTGGTGACAAGAATGTTTCTCAGATCTGTTGAGATGAAAATATAATTATATATAAATACAATTAATACTAAGTGTATTACTGATAAAACTTCTCCTCCTGAAGCTTTATATATATATATATATATAAATGTCCATTATTGTTCACTGGAAAGAGCGAGATACAAATAAATTAAATTTTTAAAAAAATTACACAAAAAGAGAGAGTTATTGAAATAGAGAGAGATTTTCTATACTCTTTCTTAACAAAAAGATGCAAGTGTCATACTTACAATGAATCCCTCACTTCTCTACGATATAAAATTCGCCTATGTACAAAATACATGACTGAAAAAATACATATATGCAGCCTCATGCACTCAAAACATGAAGATATAAGCTTTGGGCCTCCTTATGCCCATTTTACATGTACAAACTGATTAACACTAATGTACATAGGCATTGTGGACTTGTAATGTCAGAGGCATAGCTTTTTTGTCAAAGTAGAAGCAGCCCAGCTTTCAACTTCAATCATTTACAATGGTCAGAATCCTATTTCACCAACAAAAAAATCCGAAGTCGGCGCTCTTCCATGACCAACCATCAAAGTATGCACCTGCAGATATTATCTATGATGATGAACCCTGTCTTTTGAGCGATTATTTCTTGCTGCTAAACGCGCTGTAAAACCTACAGTTGTAGGCCTTATTGATCTCTGCCGAACCATATTGCAGTATTCAGGATCATCGCATTGCCCCTCAATCCGTATCCACTGAATCATATTATGGAACATTGGAAAGAACCGCATCTGAATTGCTGAGTAGGAGAAGAAAGGAATCAAGGCTGCTATCACCACTAAGAGTGTGACGAGCCAGAAGGTGAGGGACGGAGCAAGGGATTCGACGAAGACTTTGAAAGCAGTGGTGGAATAACTGGGAGGCATAGCTCCATATGCCAAGAGGAAAAGATACCAGAGGGCAATGCCACCCCAAATGAAGATATGTTGAATCAAGGTGAAGTAATTTATTGCGAGGGCCATCTGGCAGTTCACAGTCCAAACAACACATGTATACATTGTTGCCCCAAAGACGTCCAACTCGGCAATTTTTCCATCATTGTTGAAGGCCTGAGGTTCAACTGCTCTAGTGCAAAAGAAGAAGATAATGATGGCTTGCAAAAGCCCATTGAGCATCCAGCCAATTATACGACGCCAGCTGAAGAGGACATTCTGTACACCTTCTTGGTACAGCAAAGGGAACTGTCACGTGCAATGGGAACAAAGAATGAGCTATAATCATTGTTCGGTGTGAAACCAAAAACATGTCAAGTACTTCTTTATTAAATAAATAAAAAGATATAGAAAAGGTTTACGCAGTATTTTGTCAAATGGAAAAATCAAGACTCAAGGGTTAACAATTTTTAAATTTTTCCAAGATATTTTATTAATAGAACTCGACTGATATCAACAAAAGCTTGTCATGATCTCTGTAGCCTCCACCCATATTGTTTCTTTTCTGTTTTTTCTTTTTTAAAATTTTATGATTTGGCTCTATTTAATGATTTATTGGACTCCATGTGGTATCTTATCATCAGCTATCCAAAAATTTTCACTAAAGAAACAATATAGAAACATTTATTACTTCAATAGCAGCTACTTATAGCTATTCTTCAAATAGTAATCCAACATCCAAAATACCAGTAACGGCCAACAAAATTGTAGTTACCGTTAATGATGGCTGTTACTTTTCTCATGTTTCTTTATAACAGAACCATTAGCTGCTACCATTAATAAAATCACAAACTGCTGTAGCTATAATTTAGACCAAATTTTATATTAGATAAAAGGCATACCTTGAGACAAAACCGAGCTGATACATCTTGGTCAAAAACGCCCATGGCAATCACAGGGAGTGATGTAAAGAAGACATTATAAAGGGATAAAAACCAATCATTGTAAGCAGGCTGCCCAGAGAATGATGCATATGCCTCGTAGAAGAAGATAGTGAAACCGAATGTGATATTCTTATAGAAGAAGTAGCATATCTGCCAATAGGAAAAAGAATTAACTCAATTGATTAATCTATGAAGGTAATAATTGAAGAAAATTTGAAAATGTAAATATTTTATTTAGACTTTAAACCATTGACAAATTTCAAATCCACGAAATCTAAAATAGCTATCAAAATTTGGATTTCAATTTGATCTCTACAAGGATTGGAACAAACACACAAAAAGAAAAAAAGGAGAAACAGAGAGAAAATTTCAAATCTTGATTTATATCTAAATTCAAGTACATAAAAGTCAATACCATTGACGAGATCCTTCTGTAACACCAATGTCCATGCACCAGAAGTAAGCGCTCCAAAAATCGGAACTGAGCAATCGCTATATCACTTGACATGACTGCCTGATATGTTTAAAACATAGAAAGTTCAGAAGAAATGAAGTAAAACATAACCACGATAAGAATGTTTATGCATTGAGATGGTGAACATATCCAGCTATTGATTGAGTACCTGCATTCCTTCAACACCACTGATTCCAATCCCGATATCAGCTTCTTGAAGCATTCCCACATCATTGGCCCCATCACCAATTGCTAGTGTGGTCTTCCTGTTTCCAACTTTAACAAGTCTGGTAACCTGAGTTTTCAGGAAGCATTTTTTATGAGTTAACTATTCTTAAAGCAGATAAAGTAATGCTTGAGAAAAGAGAGAGAGAGAAAGAAAAAAAAAGAAAAAAAAAAGGGAGGAATAAAATCAAAACAAAATCTTCTCCTTCTCTTCTTTTATTTATTTATTTTTTTGGTGCATGGGTCCTTGGAGGGGGACTAAGTGACTCACCAGTGCCTTCTGTTTTGGTGATGAACGACAGCAAATAACAGATGCACAGCCAACTGCAAGTTCTAAAAACATATTCTTCATGTCATCCTCTAGCGCATATACAAGTGATTGCCCATCAATGATTAAAGCAAATGCCTCAGAGCTTCCACCCGATGCCGTCAGCTGTGCCTTCCCTTGACTTATCTGGCGGCGAACACTCTCCTTCGAAGCCTGAAAGATGAATAGATAGTATCCCACCACATTACATCATATAATCTTACTTTGCTGACCATTTAACAATCAATGGTACATTAGAATTTCCAGAAAACAAGTTGACCCTCGTCTGACATGTCACATGAGTAGCATAATATTCATCAGATATTTTCTTCATGGTATATAAAATCATGGCAGACAAGCTCAACTTTTTGTAGGACTAATGTCTCAATGAGGAAAAGAATAAAAATCAAAATAAAAAAAGAAAAATAAAAAATAAAAAACTGTATTTCCCATAAGAGGTAACACAGTCATTCTTAAGCCTATCATCAAGCTTTTACTTGACAAAAGTTACCTCAGTTGAAATAATCAAGCATTACCATAGTGGTTTGCAGGGTAATATAGTCATAGCATTGTCATTTCTTTCTTATAATTTTACAAGGCTCTCCTAGTTTTAGTCTGCACTTTTTTACTCATCTTATTAAACTATTAATTGTCATCCTTATCATATACATTTTACTAAGCTGCTTATAGATCAGGAAAAGAAAATATAGAATTACCTTTTCGATTGCATTCTTTTCTCCCATTTTCTCCAGTGCTTTAATTTCTGGTGTCTCCAAGTTTATTATTATCTGCTTCATTCCTTGTCTAAGCAAACTACAAGCGAATCTGCAAATTTTAAGTTGGAAATGTTTACATGAGTTAACCACATCTAGTGAAAGTCCATAAAAACTCAAATGAAATAATCATACCCAATATTAATGGCAGTTTCCATCTTATCTCCAGTCAAAACCCATATCTTTATTCCTGCTTGGGCGAGCTTGTCAATGCACTCAGGCACCTACCAGACACAACAGAAGAAAATTTAATTCCAACTCCCATTTATTGTCCCTAAAGATGTTCTTTTTTATAAAGACTCGTCCGCATAAAAAAATTCAACCCACCCCCTGTTGGAGTTTATCCTCAACAGCTGTGGCGCCTACAAGAATCAAATCCTTCTCAATCGTCTCTGCCGCTTCATCAATCATTGTCTGCCGATCTGCACTGACAGAGTTCTTGGCCTCTGTGAATTTCTTATTGAAGTCATTGTACTCTTCCTCATTGAGTTCACGATAAGCAAGTACCAAGGTCCTCAAGCCTGCATCTGCATACTCATTTACATGGTCCCTGGTCTCCTCTTCAAACTCCCTTCCATTTTTAGCAAGCCTTTCAAACATGACACTGCATGGAAACAAAAGAACAAATAAAAAAGTGGGGAAAGTAGCGACGATGGTTTAGAATAGACTGAAAGTAGATACAAATAGTTCATCATACACATGGTTTCAGCATAGTGGCTGTGAAATTACAAACCTGTCAGCACCTTTACAGAGTAGCACTAGCATTCCCTCCTCATTTCGTACTATTACAGACATCCGCTTTCTTGAGCTATTAAACTCTAAGACATTCAAAAGTTTATACGACCTGCAAAAACAAAAATAATTTAACACAATTTATCAATTATACCTTTGAGCAGAGAAAGCGAAAGCAATTTAACATGTGCATGCACACACAGATATACGTTTATGTGATGTCAGTGTGTTGCACCCATGTGTACATGTAATGCACCATCTGCACCCTGAATGCACATTATGATCATCAACCACCCACCACATATGATCAAGATGTTAAAGAGACCATCAATCAGGTGTGAATATCCAATATGACCCCTTTGAACATTGACATTGTAGGTAGATTGTGAAATATTTAATTACTTCAATAGCACCTCAGTTTGTTCAATGCAGGTATAAAGAAAACAGACTTGAGCCTTTGTGAAAGCAAACACCCTAAAGGCAAACTAAGAGGAAGCATTTTCATAAGCAAAGCAAGGAAGCAGATCACTTAGATTTTTATTTTTATTTTTATTTTTAATCAATTCATGGTTATAATCTCCGCCAGCCTAATGCACCTTTTTAGATGTTACTTATAAAGTCACTGTGTTCAAAGGATTGAGAACTGTGTAATGATTAGGGACTATTGGTCAGTGCAATGATTGATATTTTGATAGAGAACTGTGAGAATTTCAGGTTGAGTTTGAGAGAAGCCACTGTGTGCAAAGGGTTAAGTCTGTGTTTGGACCACCCTTTTTAGTACCCCTACTAGGTGGGACCAATATTGGTAAATGACCTTCACTTACTAAGGGAACATGTAGACTAATCTTTCCTGATGATTCTGCATGCATGCAAGTGGCAGCCAAAAAGTGTGGGATGAAAAATTTTAGTGTTGTAAGGAGTATAAGAAACTTTGCATGTGAACACAATAAGAAAATTTGGAAGTGAACAGAAACAGAGACACTGACCTTTCAGTTCTTCTTCCAGACACAGGATCCAACTCATGCAATGAGATGCTTGCTTGCGTTCTTTCATAAAATTCAAAGCCAAGTTCTCTAGCTGCAATCACAAAGGCTGCCTCATCTGGTGACTCAGCTTCATATGAGACATTTCCTGTATTTTCATCTACTTCGGGTATGGCTGTATGACAGATTGCCAATGTACGAAGAAATTTATGTATGACGTTTGCATGGGGCTCCTTAAGCCAATTCCCGTTCATCATCCTTTCATCCTTAAAATTGAAGCCTTTGATGAATTTCGTATCATCAGAATCCTCGACACGGTCCCCACTGTTAACCATATGAGGAGCCAATGGAGATCCTTTTCTTTTAGCCATCGCCTTCTCAACCTCTGTAACACCACGGCCATAAGCTGTCCCAGCCACAGAACACTTTATAAACTCCATCGAATTGCAAGTCAGTGTTCCTGTCTTATCAGAAAGGATTGTGTCAACTTGGCCAAGTTCCTCAGTTAAATTTGATGTACGGGCATGCGCTGGTTTGTCAGTTTCTTCGTAGTACATAAGAAAATCTTGATTGATAAAGATGCTCTGAAGAACTTTAACAATTTCTATCGACACATACAAGGAGATTGGAATCAAGTAACTATACAACATTAGTGCCGTCAGGAAATGATAAATTGCAGCTAGTGGGGCTTTCTTGGGATCATAGAATATTGTAGAATTGTCTGGTCTTAGATACCACCTTTTCATCCTCCCACCGTCCAGGTCATTGTCAGTTACAATGCCGAAGTAAATTGATCCAACAAGAGCCATTAAAAATAAGACGCAAAATAAAAAATAGACTATTTTGTCCATTTTCTTCTCAATTTTGCTTCTCTTTGAAGGGGGATCAGTAGAGTTTTGCATAACCTTTGTGTCATTACCGGTGAAGATAACAGTCCCATATATGTAGTCTGTATTCCTGAGTTTGGAGTCTCTTAGGAGAAGTTGAAGAGGAGCAAGAGGATACGGTTGCTCTTCAAATTCCATACTCCCAACAAAGGAGTACAAATTTGCATTTGGATCTTCACATTTAACAAGAGCCTTGAAATCCTTGAAGTGAGAGTCCTCATGTAATAATGAAGTTGCCTCCAATCCTTGTTTTAGTTTCAAATTTGTCTCCCCATCAAGGTTCATAGTCTCAACATAGCAGATTGCATCATCATAACTGGATGAAAGCAAGAGAAGATCCGCTGGAAAAAATTCATCCTTCTCTACCTTCACTATATCTCCCACTTTCAGAGTCTTCCATTCAGTGTCCCCGAAAACTCCACCACCACGATGCACTTTAACCTTTCTATTATTCACCTCAATGTCCTGAAATTTTCCACCCATTAAATTATGGAGTTGAGTTTAACAGCTTGCTAAACAACAATATCTATATAAATTATTATCATTTTGTTCACAGCATGACAGTTATTCATCATATAACACTAAAATCAACCAAAAGAACATGGCATAGTATTATCTTTGAAAATATGCAGAACCTGAAAGAACAGAAATTTAAGTCATTCTGCCTATAACAGAAACTCTATGATATGTGCTGCCATTTGTTTCAATTTTCAAAGGTAGAATATGAACATACCATGCGACACATATGTTTGAGAACTATTTTTTCTTTGAATTACATCTCATCATGATAAAACAAACTCATATATTTGGACAGTTTGGATGTCAAATTTAATTAAGAAAACTAAAATATGTATCATGCTAGCAGCGTGGTCTAATGATCAAGTTGTCCTTTAACCATAAGATACGGTGTCAGAGGCAGGAGCCTATAAGAATTTATTTTGGCTCTCAGAAAGCATTTCCTTAAAAGTCATTATGAAGTATGAGCAATACCATGAAACTTTCATCTGTAATCTGAATTTTAAAACTTTTTGGGGCATGATTTCCGTACATATCCTCAGTTATTCGGAAGTTAATAACGAAAAGAAAAAAAATAAACTACTTTACAAGTACAGAATCCATGTTGCAACTTAGAAAACCAAACAACAAGCTTAAGCACTAAAATCAATTTAATCAACTAGTAGAGATAAAAAAGAGAGAGGTACCTGCTGTTTTCGTTTCCAATCTTCGATGCCTTCTTTCACCATGGTAGCCCCAATCACAACAATTAAAGGGAGAATAGCGCTGACAGCACTATAAGGAGAGAGGGGTGTGAAGGCCAAGATGCCGGTAACAAGGAAGTAAAAATTGGCCACCCTCCTAAACTGCTCAAACAAGGACTTGGGCAAGAAAGATGCAGCTGTATACTTGGTAGTACTTACATAATTGCTTGCATAACTACGAATTTCGGCCTCGGGGCAATCTGGTTCATTGGAATAAACTACCCTCGAGAACCCGGGTCCTCCAATCTGCGAGTGATCATCCAAGAAAGATGATTTCCCACATCTGAATGAGTAGATCTTGCTAAAATGCAACTTTCTTCTCCTGCCAGTCACCATTCTCTCCAACTAGGATTGCCTCAAACTAATCCCAATTCTAGTTTCAAAACTCAAACAAAGCCCAGTAATAAAGCCAAAAAAGCTTTACTCCTCACAGTAGCAAATTTCTCAATAAAAAAATGCTACTTTTTCACAGAATTCCACCCACAACAAAATACAAACAGAACCAAAAACCCACCAAAAATTCAAAAAAAAAAAGTTAACAAATATAAATAAATTAAATAACAGAAAACCCAAGAAAGGTTTCAAGCCAAAAGCACAAAACCCCAGTTAACTAAACTTAGAAAATGAAGAAATAGGTAGAAGAAGATAACTTCACTTAGTAAAGCTTTAAGGAATATAGACCAGAGAGAGAGACCAAACAACAATAATTGCCGAGAAAAGAGATGGGGTTTATATTCAGACAACACCAGCGACAAGTACAACCCCTAAAATCTATGAATCTGAGAACCCAAACGACAATTTTTGCCACAAATGAACAATACCCAGAAACAAAGACCTATAAATCAGCTAACCCAAATCATGAGAATCACAATATAATCAAATTCATGTATAAACGAGGCCTATTAGAAAACAGAGATAATGTATGAAGAAATGTTCGGCTGTTTGGTTTTTCTATAGGCCTTCCAAAGCTTTGAACGTAGACTTGGATCTCTCGCTCTCATGTTTGACTTCGCAACCGCTGGATTATAACGCGCATTGCTCACCAAGAAATGATCAGATTTCAACCCCGACGAGTCAATAATTTTTTCGAATACATGAAATAAAAAAAAAGGTCGAAATTTTTGAACTTTTCAACGGCAAAAAAAATAATAATAATAAAAATAAATTACAAAATACAAAATAAAAAGCTACGGGGTATAAAATTGTTGAAGATTTGATGGGTTTGATTCAGGATTTACACTCACAGAAGATTCGTTTTCGCGGGAAATTCCTGAGAATGAATCAATGGGCGTGCGTGGTCTTCTCGTCTCTGGCTGGTCTTTGCTTTTGTCGTTTGAAGCTTTCACAGTAGAAGAGAAGAACAGACAAAAAGTTTTTTTTTTTTTTTTTTTTAATATATATATATATATACACATCTGTATTTATTCGGATTAACACATCTGTTTTGATTTAATATATACTTATATATGGGTAGATATATAAACATCTAGAACACCAGTAGAAAAATGTTTATCTATTACTACTAATTGAGATGGGAAAAATCTAACTTGTTTGATTATGTGAATTAATATGGTAAAAAAAGTTATTAAAGTTATTAGAGTTTACAGACAATTAACAGATGGAGGGTATTTAATTAATGATTAAAAGATTCCCCCATTATGGCGAGGAATGGTGCATCGTGCAAGAAAAGGGTCAAATTACTCAAAAATAAATAATAAATAATAATTAAAACCTGGCCTATATCACAAAATCGCATGTATTATTATAAATATACATGTGTGTGTATATATATATATATTTATACAAAGTAATGTTATACATAATATTACCACTATTTAATTGATTTTTTTATTTAATATAGTGAATAAATTCAAATGACCCTTCAATTAATCAAGAGCGCAGCTTTTAATTTAGGGGCACAACGCACTTGATAAAAAAAAAAAAAAAACCTAGTATGACAAATATACATTGATTTAATCAAAAATAAAAAATTTAGGAGGTGAAAAAAAAAATGGAAAGAAAAATTAGTAAAATTTGATGGAAAAAAAATATAGTGTAATTGAAGAAAGGGAATTTATTTAACATATTTTTACAAAAGAAAATTAAAGATATTTGGAAACTCTACAAAAGAATATTTAACTTATATGTACGTCATGCATGACTTACAAAAGAATATTTATTTTATTTTGAGAGTTATTATTTTTTCTTTTCAAGACAAGACTGTTATATTAGAGTATTTTATTGTTATTACTTAAACAAATTGTTTAAGTAAACATACTATGTATATCTTAATCGACTACTACGTGTCTTGCAAAAGAATATTTAACTTATATGTACGTCATGCATGACTTGCGAATCAAATCATTTATTTATAATACAAGTTGTACCAAAATTGGAGTCAATTACTAATTCCCGGAACAAATTGGTTTGGTTTTAAGAATATGTATATATCCAATAAAATTACATTCATTAGATATATATGATATGCGAAACATGAACAGATAGAGTGTCTTTTAAGGATATATATTAATTCCACTGACATTTTCATATATACTTGTTTGTACATATCTGTACGTACACTAGCTAACATATATGAGTATATGTTTTTATAATAGTAATATATTGGTTTTAAGAAGAAAAAAAAAATACCTCTAATTGTAATAGTTTTTATAAATTTATTTTTTTTACATAGAAAATGTAAAAAGAGTTGTGGTTAACAATGCATATGAGTCACGTGTCCGACTTTGAAAAACATGAATGAATGAATAGCCGTCTGATTTGGTGTGAGAAAAAAAGGAAGACTAGTCAACCCATCACAATTCATTTGCCCGTCTCATGCTCCAACTGTCCAAGTCATCGGGACCAAACGTAAAAATGATTCATCCCCCACCTATTAATGTTTTTTTAAAAAAAATAAAAAAATACTTTCTCCTGTTCAAAATATTTGTTAATATTTTTATTTTAAAAAATATATGTCTCATTTCAAAATTGGATGAATAATTTTTATAAGAAAATGTTCTTCACAAATTTTTATTTCTGATTTCATTTTGAAATAAGTAGTGATATTCATACCGAACACTTGCACTCAATTGCCTAACAAATAATTTTTAATTGACTATTTATACCAAATACAACTAAGTAAATGTCTCTACTTCCTTACTTGTTGCATAATTTGATCAATTAAAAGAGTATGTCTAGTAATTTACTGCAAATATTGCGTCCAAGAATCATTATTCTTTTGAATTAGCTTGGCTATTTTGTGAATTTTAAAAGTAATTTTTTAATATTGGAAAGATTTTAATATAAGAATGGGAGAAAATATAGCAAAACTTATAATCATGGAATGCAAACCCTAATATAATTTAATAACTTGAATTCAATCTTGTCATAATATATTTTCGTTTGAAAGACTATTTCTATTAAATCTTTAACTAATTAAAACTTGAAATTTTTTGTAAAAATTCAAAATATGAAACCTAATTTTTTGAACCAATTTTTATGTGTGAATAATTAGATAAATACATAATTCACTTAAAGTTTTTTAATATTATATTTTTAATCTTCTTTCTTTTAATTAGGAACCCTAATTTTCTTAATGATCTATAAGTTTGAATAATTTGATTAATAGATAATCAATTTATTGTTTAGCATTATTATAAAATCGAGAAGAGAATATATATATATAACAAAAGATAAAAGTAGGGAAAATAAAATTAGAGAAGCAAATATAATTTAATATTGATTCTCACTTTTCCTTCAATGGGGTTATTCACACAAATGTATATATATACGTGAATGGAATTATTTACTTCTTTTAATTTGTCCGCTTTCTTAATTTAGTTATAACTTAAATATGTTAATACTTTTGCATCATATCGCTACACCGATCTCATTGATGATCGATCACCGGTCGGTTGGCTTGACCTTTTGATATATTCCATTTCTATATATGGTACAAATCACTTTTTTGTATTTAACAATTTGATTGTATCAAATTATCATCCCATGAGCTATATATTCTGGAAGGAAAAGAAAAAAATAAAAATATATATATATATATATATTCTATTGTTCGAAAGAATAGCATGTGCAAAGCATACACTGATGTTCTAGAATGTCTGCAGTGTCAGGCAATTCAATGATGTTCTAGAATGTCTGCAGTGTCAGGCAATTCAAAGACTAAGGTTTGATTTGGAAGATCAATCCGAAGCCCCTTTTTCCATATTTTCATTTGAATTTTCAACTATGTGATTGGATTTGAAACTAACTAATTTTTAATTATTCTTCCCAAAATTCAGTCATAAAATTACAACTCAATTTCAATTGGCTTTTCTTAAAATAAGCTAGTAATTCATAGATCCAACTTGGCCTTTTTCAAAACTAAATTACAACTAAATCAGCACAACCTTTTAATTTTCCGCAACCATATGTGCTAAGGTAAAACCTAAAATTACGAGTTTAGGCCCTAAATAGAAGAAACTCATACAATTACAGTTAGTTTTAGATTCATTGCATGCTATGTAGTACGGACATGAAACACAGACACAATACGACACGAATATATTGATACGTTAAATTTTTAAAAAGTAAAATACTGATACAGCGTGGATACAACTACATAATAATATAAAGAGTGAACACGATTACATAATAATATAAATTTTTATTATTATACAATAGTATTATAGAATTTTAATTCATTTATAATTTATATATTAAGAATTACTCTGAAATGAATTATAAAATGAAATTATGTCATTATTATAATAGTTTTTATATCATATAAACCATTATGAAATGTATTCATTTTATTTTCAAGATTACTAGATAGACTTGTATTAAAAATGTTTGAGAAGCGTTAGCGAAGTATCTGAAAAGTATCGGTGAAGTGTTTGAAATAATAAAATTATTTTTAAGATTACTAGATAGACTTGTATTAAAAATATCTGAGAAGTGTCAGCGAAGTGTCCGAATAATATCGGTGAAGTGTTTTGGAAATATTGGCAAATCATTCGAAATAATAAAATTAATTTTTATTTATGAATACGAATATGAGGTGTTAGAAACATATCTGAAAAGTGTCCAACAAGTGTCAGTGTCCGACACAAGTACGACTCTTACATACTTTCTAGATTGCAAGTGATGGGTTTGAGAATTTTTTAGGACTGGTGTCTTTGATGAAGCTCAAAATTACCATTTGCTTCAGATGACATTTTTTTATCTACCGAGGCAAACTTGTCAAAGTCTTCCTCCATGACAAATATTTTGAAACCATGCCAATTCATTCAAGTGTGTAGATAACCTAAGGTTGACAATTAGGTTTCCTTCATATATCATGATGCCTGTTTTTTCTTTACGTCAAAATCAAGGTTGACAATTTGCCTAGCTTTTTTATTTTTTTGGCACTTGTATACGTCGTAGTACTGTAGCAGTTTCTAACATTCGTAATTTTTTGGTTTTTCGAGATTTTGGGAAAAGTTTGACGTCTCCCGCTGAGATGTACATCATTATTATTTTTTAAAAAATAATTTTTATACCAAATAATTACAATAAATTATTAAATTTATTTTTTTAATTAATCAATTATACAATAAATAAAAAAGTGAAGTCATCCACTTAATTATATTTAGTATAAATAGTCAATTAAAAATTATTAAATTTGATAATTCACTACAAGTATTCAGTAATAAGTATTCGATGTGAGTATCACTATTTTTATTTTTGTCTTATTTTTTTTTGGGTAAAGTACAGTCACACCCCGTAAGGTTTGGCAAAAGGACACTCAGATGAAATTTACCTGTTTTTTGGACAAAGACACTCCCTGAAGGTTCAAAAATTGACAAAAATACCCCTTTACATGAAAAATTGACCAAATTACCCTTTGACCGTTTATGAGACTTTTTTAACTTTACAATTTAATAAATTGGACCAATCTACCCTCATGAACAATTTATGCATAAAAAAAAAAAGTTACCCAAAAAAAAAAAAAAAAAAAATTTATATTGTTCATTTTTTTTTTTTTTTTAAATGTCCCAATTTCTTAAAAATGCAGACGTCTAAAATGATTTTTTTAATCCAATACATATATTTCAAATAAATTATATTTTGTTATTACTTCTTTTCTTTTTCTTTTTCTTTTTTATTTTTAAATTAAGATGCTTAATTCTTTCATCTAAAAAAATTAAACCAATCTCTTTTCCTTAAAAATAAAAAATATGATACCAGTATAACTTTATATATCTTAAATTATATATCAAATATTATATATTTCCCAACATAAAAGAGAAAAAAAATAATAAAACAAAAAGAAAAAAAAAAAAAAAGAAAACAAAGGAAAAAAAAAAAGACATGCAT